GGAGAAGCAGGCTTCCCGCTGAGCAGGGAGCCCGATGCGGGGCTCGATCCCAGGACCCTGGGGTCATGACCTGAGCCGAAGTCAGACGCTTAACGACTGAGCCACCCAGGTGCCCCTCACTCTCCCATTCTTAATAAGACTTAGCTCCCCATGAGCGGTCCGATTAATGCTTTGGTTCCTTACTCGTCCACTGTTAGCAGAAGGCCCCTCTCATTCCTTAAGAAATGGATCTCCCCGTTCTACAGAGGGTGGCAGTCCCCCACCCTCTGTAAAATGTTTTAAGACCACCCGTGACCTGGGACAACATGGCAGCCTGCTTCAGCAGAGCCAGCAAGTGAGGGGACAAGGGACAGTGAGGAGACGAAATGCGTGTCTTTTGTGACCTGTCCCATCCCATTTGCCTTATATTTGTTAAGAGCAAGCCCCTAAGTCCTGCCCACATTCTTGGGTTTCTGCCAGAGCATGAAAACCAGGGGCGGAATCATTGGGGGCCATCTGAGAAACACCTGCATGGTGACTTGCAGGTGTTCATTTCAGAGATCACTTTGCTCACAATAATAACACAGAAGGTTTATTAAGAGTGGATGCGTGGAGACAGGTGAAGAGGCTCAGCTCTGGTCTGTAGCATATATCACCGTTGATCAGGGTCAGAACGGAGAAGACTTACCTTCCAGTATGGCCCTCTGTCCCACACTTGCTCTTCTGTCCTCCATCCTCTGTCGAATGTTTTAATACCAACCCCGATATGGGACAAGATAGAAAAGTAAATAATAGCAACTAAAATGTAAACAAAGCGTCAGTGTTTCCAAAGACCGGCACATTCATAATCATAGCTGATCCTCCCAACTCCCTGCGAAGTCGGAGGAAAAGGTGATGTTGTTCCCTATTTTACGTAGAGGACACGGAGGCTCGGGGGATGCCCATCCCCCACCTGAGGTCCCACAACCAGCAAAAGCTGAGATCAGAACTATATGGTTCTAAACCTTGTGTGTTCTCAAATCGACTTCTCCATTAGGCGTCCAGTGGAAGGCAGAACTTTCTGTCTGAGCTATGCTGCTGGGTATGAAAGTACTAACCTAATGTGCTGTTTGAACCTGGAGACTAGCAAGTTCCAGATCCAGCCCTGCACCTCCCTTAGCCTCCTGTCTCCTTATACCTCCCCCGTCTGCCTCGAGCTCACTCCTGCTCTCCATCACTCTGCCCGTGAGCGCCAGCAACCTCTCTTCCTGGGAACATGAGGATGAGTGCTCAGGTGGTCCCTAAAGAACTCACCATCTAATGTCCAACGATGATAAAAAATGCCATAAGCATTGAATAACGTTGGTTAATAATATGCCACAGGAACATGGGACATAGAATGTATAACCTCTTAGTGGAATCCAGTCATGCCAGATTGAAGTGAATAATTTTCTACCAAGCCTGTTATTTTCCAAAATAGCAAAATATTTTACATTGTCAAAGAATGTGACAATGGCTTACGCATAAGGCTCTTTCATTTATGCAGAAACGTCCTAAGGTGGCCTTCTTTCTACACCTGCTTCAGTGTCCGGGTGTCCGGGTGTCCGGGTGTCCGGGTGTCCTCAGGGCAGATGTATCATCAGTTTCTGTCTCTTGCTGCCTGCGTCCTCCCTCCTACCCCAGATTTAGGTCCTTCCATCCAAGTTCCTCCCTTCACCCATAGGAAACCCATTCTCGGCAGCCGGGTCTTTTGTATCATGTAGTTAGATGTTTCCCATATGTTTTCCTCTAGACAGATTTATATATCTATAGAAGAGTTGCTCCTTCTGTACCATTACCTGTGGTTTCTGTGGGAAAACTATTACAGATAAGTAGCTGGTTATTAACTATATTGGATGCCGTGCCTAGAAGAGAATTTTGAGTTTCAGTTTTAGTAAGATCTGCCACTGTCCTTAGTAGACGAGAAAGGCTTTCAGGAGCCTTCAAAAGAACTGCCCTTCATGTGCCCTCCACTCACCCCACCCCTGCAAATTGCCTTCACCCACATGGCCATTTAACAATTTGCCAGGTGAATGTAGCCCCTAGTTTTCCACTAAGAAACTCTAGCGTTTACCAAAGAATTCCCTACTTCAAACACCACTATAGAGACTCAAAGGAAAGAGTGAGGTATCAGAGCATATGGTCTGAGGGACTCAACAGGAGTTGAGCTGCCAGATGAAGATGGAGACAGTCGTTGACCTTTGTCTTGGTGCAGAGATGGGGGCAGTCCTGGGGTGTGGGGTTGGACGGGGGCTCAGAGACAGTTGCACTGAGCCCGAGGCCCCACAGTCGATCTCAGAACACTAAGGGAAGAGGGCTGGATCTCCCTGATTTCACTTTGCTTGGGTTACGTGGATACCTTTGGAGTTCCAGGAAAAGAGGTGGTGGGTAAGCAGCCTCTGCTCAGAGAACACAAGGCTCTGGCAGGGTCCCCTCCGTGAGGAAGTGCAAACCACCAAGGTGTACGCTTGGCTTGAGCAGAACTCTGAAGTCACTTGTCACGCCATTTAATTGGCCCAGAGTTAGTGAGCATTTTTTTCTCTTTCTCGTCGTTTTCTGGTTTGAAATTGTACCAGCAAACACTGTTATATACACAGAAGAAAGTGATAGGAAGAGGAAATGAGAGCCAGTGGTTTTATATATTCTACACAGAGGAGTGGTTGTCTCAGTCTGGTTCAACACATGTTTTCTGATGGCAGGGTAGAGCTAAAAGCCAGCCCCTCCATCACCCTGACCTTCTCTTACGGAGAACAAAGAGGCACATGTCACGTGCTTAGCTGAAACTCCAGCCCATTTTACTGTTATGTTCCGAATTCTCTAGACCCCAGCGGGAAAGAAAGGGCTGATCTTGAGCCAAAGAGGAAAGGGGCATTGCTTTCTCACCACACTTGAGCCCTGTTGTTGGTAGAGAGGATGGAAATGCCATAGGGCGTGGAGTCTTTCCAATAGTGGGTGCATCTCCACCCACCATGGAGACCTCCCTGTCTTGTTCGGTCAGAGGAGGGAGTCTCAGCAGGATCCACAGAGCCACCCCAGCGGGAATGGGTGTGTGAAGTTGACTTGGGTGTTGGGACACCCATGAGGTTCTGGAGTCTGTAGATGCAGTCCTAAATCTTCCCCAGCAAGAATGCCTGGGCATGCTCAGACTGGGCTGTGGGGCAAGTACCAGCAGTCCTTTATCAGATGCAGCTCGAAGCCAGTGACATTCTTCCATTTCAGACATAGCAGGGGCAGCCAGCTCGAAAGGGCATGCTGTATTCAAGTTGCATATGTTTTGTATGTAAGCCCTAAGGGCTCAGCTACTTTAGGAGGGGGGAACTCTTATGACAAAAAATAAAGTTTACTAAGACAGTGGCTAAAGTTTAAGCCTTGATGTTTACACAAATGGCAGGAATCTGTAGATCTGTGCCAAGATAACACTGCTTTCCAAATAGATGTTCTCCAGATGCTTCATCATTTGCCGTCCTTGGTTCGGGGAAGAACAATTCTTAGTCTATATACATCGTGCGAGATCGTGCTAAAGCTTTGTGAACTCAGCCTAACTTACAAATGCGTCTTCTTGGCGGGACACCCTCCTAGTCCTGGAAATAAGCACATTCTCTGTCTCTCGCTGCCATAAATCCTTGCTGTCCGACGAAATTTTGACTTTGGGTTTTATCTTGAACTTCTCCGTGGTGCTTATTAAACTAAGAAGAGTGATGTTGGGGGTGGGGGGGGGATGGCTTCCTGTAACGCATTTACATTCGTTGAATTTGCATGATTTTCATAGGTATTTGCCGCAATTATCTTCATTGGCATCAAAAGCGTTTTTAACTACTTGAATATACACGTGATATGGTAAAAGCTGCTTCACAGTATGCTAAACAGACATGGATCTTTTTCTTGAAGATCTTGGCTCTGAGACAGACAGTGATAATCTATCTAATTCAAAGCCAATCTAGAAATGTGTTTTAGGAAGCATAAGTATGAAAGTTTCATGGAAAGCAATGACAAAAGTCATGTGTTCAGGTGTGGAAAAACATGGCATCATAAGATTTGCATATCACAAAATCCTTGCATTTTAAGTCTCTGAGTTTTCTTTGAGATCAAGGTCTTGTCCTCACTTTACCAATAAAAGAACAGCCCAAAGGTCACTCACCTAGTCCGTGACAGTGTCGCCGGTGGGACGCAGGTCTCGGAGCCTCTGTATTATTTTCTCTCCACTTGACTACTATGTCAAGGGAATTGCTGTCATTTCCAGTTGGAGGGAGCTTTCTGGAAGAGGAATTTTGTTTTCTGTTCCAATCATTCACACACCAGGTGTTGAGTCACCCAATTATCTTCCCTCATTAGCAAATCTGAAACTATACCAGCCCAGGTATGCTTTCAAGGGGTCATGTTTTAAAAAGTCTTCAGAGTTTCTCATGGCTGCCAAGAAAGTGGTAACCAGTTACCTGTAAGCCACAGGCTTTAGACTGAGGTTTCTTGGGTATTAATCTCAGCTTTCATTACTTCTCTTTACCAGGCACTTTCGCCTCTAGTTTTGTTTTCCTATTTCCCTGGAGTTCTGCAAAATTTCCTTGGAACATATACTCCATCATCCAAGAGGCCTGGGTGGACAAATCCTTCCCCAAAGGGCTGTTCTTAGAAACCTCCTTGTCTAAATTCAAAACCAACGTCATGCCTACCTAGGGTGAGGCTGGCCCTACTGCTTGCAGGATCCCGATGGAAGCTCCCCCCTTGGGTGGGGGGAGACGGGTCGTGGCAGGCGGGAGCTTTCTGTTTATTTCCAGCACCCCTGCGTCGCCTAGCTGTGACAGCTGTGCTTTGTTAAGTGTTCTTGACGCTGAGCCTCAAGCCCATTTTCCTTCATGGTTATTTGTCATTTGCTGTGTTTTGCCTGATCATTGGTGTTTCCTTAAAAATAATAAGAGTAATGAGCAGTTATGTTATTATTCATCCCAAGTGTACAGATCATGCATTTATCTTGGGCTCCTTTTTTTTTTTTTTTTTTTTTTTCCTAGAGCCTGCACTCGACAGCGCATGCTGAGCGGATCATTTGAGGGGCAGCCAGCAAAGGAAAGGTCAATTCTCAGTGTGCAGCATCATATCCGCCAAGAGCGCAGGTAAATAGACCAGGAGACAAAGCTGCAGAGAAACTAAGGAAAGGAGTTTTACAGGAAATGGTCTCTGTGCACAGCCCCGGTTAGCAGACAGGCATGTGGGAGGAACTTTGTTCTGTTTCCTGACGGCAATAATAACGAAACTCACAATCAGATTCAAAGAGTCAAAAAAAAATCTTTCAAAAACCTTTTCCTTCGTGATGGCCAAATTCTTACTTTTAAGGATCAGAAGGAAAAATTCTGCAATTTGTTAGATGAGATCAAAGGCATTTGAATAATCAAAAGCTTTCGCTAGGAAAAGAAATGATAAGCATTTGTGATGGTATCAGAAAAGTTACTTTATTTTGTTCTTATAATGGCCATTGTTCAAAAGTCAAAATTTGGCTTTGGATGTATTGACCAGTTGGTTGTGGTTGTTTTAGGTCACTGAGACACGGATCCAATAGCCAGAGGATCAGCAGGGGGAAATCTCTTGAAACCTTGACTCAAGATGTAAGTTCTCAGCGATGCTTTGAATTTGGGAAGCATGATTATGAAAATGCATTTAAATTACTGTTTAGAATGTTCCAGCGCCTGGGCCCTTCTGTCACACTGTCCTGTCTCCGTAAGACTTTATATCAGAGGAAATCAGGAGACTCGGGAAGCAAATTGAATGGCCAGTACAAAAGAGTGACCATTAACTGTTCAAAAATCCAGACATCCCACAAAGCACATGTCTTCATTAAGATAGCAACACAAAAGTGACGTGTGACTTGCCTTTGACTGACATTAAAGATATTCAAAGCATTATATAGAATTTATCTGTATTGTTAACTTTAAACCTTTACTAAAATTTCCAAATATTCTGGAATCTAGATCCAGCGTCTGTAACTTCAGGGCTTTACCTACTAAGAAGTAAAATCTTACTTCTGGAAGAATTTTTCTTTCAAAGACTGCATACTATTTCCCAAGAATTTCTTTGCTTTCAGACTCTAGGTCATCCATTGATTTATTAACTGACTCAAAAAAAACATTTACCAAGTGTTTATTATGTGCCAGGTCCTGTTCTAAGTGAGGAGGAGCAGTGGGGAAACAAGACAAGACCTCTGCCTTCCAGGAACTTAAATCCCATAGGAGAGACAAAGACTAAACAAGGAAAGAAATACATAATCATTTCTGGAAGTGTTTTTTATTTATTTTCCATCATGTCTTCATTGCTGTGACAGTTTGCTCTGCATTATAAAAAAAAATAAAATGATATAAAGAAATCAAAAGTGTAGATATGGAGGCAGGGAATGTTCGAGAAGATGGTCAGGGTTCACACCTCTGTGTTAGACCAGACACCCGGACAAAGAGAAGAAACAAGCCACATTAAAAACCCAGGCAAACCCACGGAGGCAGAAGTCTGACCTCTGGGTTAGACTCACTAGCAGCTGTATCATGCTGAGATTTCTAAGATACTTGTAAAGTACATATTAAATAATTATCATTGGTGACACCCTCATTAAAATATAGGTCTTAAGTTGAGTCTAGCTACGTTGGCTAAGAAAGCAGAGTCCTGAATGTTCAGAGCCAAGGATGGCATTAGAGAAAGGAGATCTAGCAAGAGAAAGGTAGCAAGCCTTTGGGTTTTTTGGGTTTTGTTTGTCTTTTTCACCACTTTACCTCTCATTTCTTAAGTTTCTGGAGTTTCCAGAATAATACAACTGCTTTCAATAGGTAGAAACTGCTATCTTAGAGTAAACTCTCCTAACTAAGTGTTCCAGGCACAACTGACAATAGAAGAAGTTGGTGATGAGAATACCTGATACCATCATCGCCCATTTTACAAGGTTCTAATTGGTGTGCGCACCTGTTAGTGCCATGATTTTTAAGCCAGAACCCTGTCAGATATGATCTACCATATTGTCTACATGGAATTGTGATTGGATCCAACACATGGCCTATGTACGCATAATTTGGGGGCCAGGCATGTTGTATGGAGAAAACTTCTATGAGAAAATTCAGAGAGACAACACTAATTCAAAGCACTTTCCTTCAGTGTGATTCACTAGAAATACATAGTCTACTTAAGAGCCAAATTAGACCACGGCTTCGAGAATATGTGTTTAAAGATACACAACGAAAGACCCTACCTATATAGTCTGAATTCCAGAGGCTTAGTTCTTCTTCAAAGACGTTTTATTCTATTTATTACACAGACATATAATGAAAACCTATTCCCCATCTTCTCCAAAGCAAAAAGTGATGAGGCTCTGCTAATTTCCTAAGAAACCACTCCTGATGTCTTTTCCTCCATAACAGAAGCAATTTAAAATAGTTTCATCTGTCTCACTTACTCCAATTGATAGAAGATACAGATAATGAAATCTAAGGAATATTTGCAATAATATCTACAGGTTATTTGAGCAATGGCTGTCCATGTCCCAGGGAGTGAAAACCAGAGTCAGGGTCCTGCATGATCAGGCCCCCTCCCACCCCCCTGATCTCAGTGTCTCCTACCCTGGTGCCTGCCCTCTTGACTCCACCCACAGGGCACTGCCCTCTTGACTCCACCCACAGGGCATCTTGCTGTTCCATGTGCACACAGCTGTTCCCTGCGCATGAGGACCCACCCATCCTCTGGAAAAGCACACTTCTGCAGATACCCAGTGGCCTGCAGATCCTTCTCATCTTAGCTCAAATAACAGCTTCTTATTGAGGCCTGCTGTGACCAGTCAAACGTGGAGCCTTCTAGCACTCTCTGTCCCCTTTGATTTTTATCATAGCGCTAAACATCTAACACCCTCCCATATTGTGATTCAATTTTTATCTCTCTCCCCTGACTAGCATGTCAGCCCCACAAGAACTGGATTTTATCCTTTCTTTTTGCTTTTTTGCCATATCCTCAACACTCCAACAGTGCCTGGCACATAATAGGTCCTCAATAAATATTTCTATTGAAAGAAGATACTCTTTGGAAGGAAAAAATACCCTTATTAAGATGCCTGTTGTCATTAAAGATATATATATTAACATCAAGATATTTATTTCAGCTTTTCTAAAAATGATCTTTCTGGGCCTTCAAAAAAAAAAAAAAACTTTCCATTTTGATGTGCCCCCTTTTATTGTATTTCTAGCATTCCAATACAGTGAGATATAGAAACGCACAAAGAGAAGACAGTGAAATCAAGATGATCCAGGAAAAAAAGGAACAAGCGGAAATGAAAAGGTACGGGGCGCTCTGGTCTTTCTGGGCTCTGGCTCTGGAATGACAGGCTTTCCCTCAGCCTTCCTGTACATGCATGTCCCCTTCCAGGAAAGTGCAGGAAGAGGAGCTGAGAGAGAATCACCCATACTTCGACAAGCCTCTGTTCATCGTTGGACGGGAGCACAGGTTCAGAAACTTCTGCCGGGTGGTGGTCCGGGCACGCTTCAATGCGTAAGTGCACTCCATTTCAGCCAGGTGTTTGGCCTGCATCGTACAAACAGCGGGGGGGGTTGTCATACGAGGAAGAAGGAACATGTAATCCTAATGGGGTCACAAAATAAACCGTGGGCTAATTAATCATGCTGCTCCTTTTGGCCGAGCGGCCGACCAGGTGGAAAACAAACAAAGGTTGCAAGCCGTTAACATTTATATAAAACTCACGTTTATAAAACACTGAACGGCCATTTTTATGTGCTCATTTTAAGTCACCCAATACGTTTCTGTCGGTGTTACTAACGCCACATTTTGTTTCGGAAATACCGAACCAAGAGTAGACCGAATGACGCAGGGAAGGTCATTGCCCACACCTTCTTTCAGACTTGTAGTTTCTTTGTGGTGAAAATACCCTAATTGGATTATTCTAGAATAATGTAAAAGAGAAATAAAATTGACTAGTGCTTCCATTACCAATTGTTATGAGAAGAAACCCCACTGGCCAGTGTCTCTGTCCCTACACGCATAGAAGAAATGTGTAGGAGGCCGTCGGTGTGGTCGACCAGGAGGACGTTGCATTGGTGACGCCCCAAGCCAATCTCAGCAGGCAACCAGTGGATGAAATGGCATTTTTGTCCTGCGCAACTTTAGTATATATCCAGAAGAGTCCTAGAGGAAGTGTGGAAGCTTTCCATCTAAGTAGTTGGATCTTCCCTGTTGGTATCATTAGTAGTATATTATGATAGCATATCACTATGTGTTGTGGGCTGAACTGTGTGTGCCCCCCTGCCAAAAAAAAAATCTGTATATTGAACCCTTAATCCCTGGTACCTCAGAATGTGACTTTATTTGGAAATGGCCTCTTTAAAGAGATAATTCAATTAAAATTAGGTGATTAAGGTGGTTCCCCAATCCAATATGACTGTTGGCCTTATAAGAGGAGGACATTTGGACACAGACACTGAGAGAGGGGGGACAGTGTGAAGGCGTAGGGAGAAGACACCATCTACAAACCAAGGAGGGAGACCGGGACAGGTCCTTCCCTCACGGTCCCCAGAAGGAACCGACCCTGCCCACACCTTCCTCTTAGACGTCTCGCCTCCAGAACTGAGAGAACATGTCTCTGTTGTTTAAGCCACTTGCTCTGTGCGACTTTGTTACAACAGCCCTAGGAAACTAATACAGTATGGTATTAGTTTCATTAGTTTTATGAGTTTTATTAGTTTTATCTTATTAGTAATACAGGGCTGGAGGACTCCTCGGGAACCATTTGGTGTCATTTGTATCTCCCCTCCTCCAACAGAGGAGGACATTTAGGTTAAGGGCTTTGCGCAGGGACACGAACTAGCGCATGGCTGCCCCTGACTGTCAGTCTAGTGATCTCTCAGTTGTTCTAGAAAGACCCTCACCATTTAAAGCACCTGAGTCATAATTAAAAACGTCCCTGAGTTTTCACACAGTAAAGAAAGAAGCCAGTAGTTTAGAGTTGATTTGATCAGTCCCTCAAGTGAGTGTTTCATCTGGAATCATCCTGTTGGCTGCCTCCATGCTAACATCTAATTGCTAATTCTCCACTTCATTTAGTGTGGACTTCCTCTCCTTTTGTCAGCCCTGCAGCTGATGTGGACCGAGGAAGACTCGGTTGTAATTGGGAGCACACACACACACACACACACACACACACACAGACCGTCACGGGCTTCACTGAAGATTGATCACGGGCTCCCTGAAAGTGAAACTTATAAGCAGGGGCCCCAAGAAATTCTATATAAATCACTGCACAAGATCACAGTTAAACACAGGAGGGGAGAGCTCTATTTAATTTCTGGAGGTTTAATTAAACAATCATGAGGAAAATTCTTGAACTGCTAAGGCAGAGATTTTAACGGAGTATTTTTAAATGGAAGTCAAAGTTTTGTCACATCCACGTCAGAGATTATTGATTGGATTCATGAATTCTCAAATCAACTATTTTGAGAAATTTTAGACTTTACTTTCACAAACATCAGCTGCAAACTCTTCTGATTTTTCTGTCATTTAATGTTCTCTGCCTTTGAAAGCCACACAGGTCCTGGAAATGTAATTTTACAGAGGATACGAAAGAGATTTTAGGTAGATAAGATGTTTATAAATACCATGCTGTCAAGTGAGAACACACTTGCTTTGTTGCAGAATGTTGTGTTTGTTGTCTCTTACAGATCTAAAACAGATCCCGTCACAGGAGCTGTGAAAAATACAAAGTACCATCAACTTTAGTAAGCATCACAAAGTCCATTTTCCATGCACATTTGAAATTTCCATGTACCACTTTATGCTGCATAAAAATGTAAAGATTCCCTTTATTTTCTTGCCATATCGTGCGAGGAAATAGACAACGGTGGCTTTCAAAAAAAAAAAAAATGCCAGTCACATTTATAGAATCACAGAAGGGCCGTCTCTGACCTGCACGGCCTTCCCTGGAGCATCTGTTTCTCAGTTATGTTTGGTCTTTGGCAGTGATCTGCTGGGACTGGTGACTTACCTGGACTGGGTCATGATCATCGTAACCATCTGTTCCTGCATTTCCATGATGTTTGAGTCCCCCTTTCGAAGAGTCATGCACGCCCCGACTTTGCAGGTACGGCTGCCGAATTTCAGCCCACAGCTCAGCAGAAACACGGGGCTGCGGTTTTTCCCTTCTTGATGACCCAACTGCCTCTTGCCCATTTCAGATCGCCGAGTACGTGTTTGTGATATTCATGAGCATCGAGCTTAATCTGAAGATTATGGCAGATGGCCTATTTTTCACTCCAACTGCTGTCATCCGGGACTTTGGTGGAGTCATGGACATATTTATATATCTTGTAAGTCTCCGGTTATTTCCTAAATGTAAGGTGTTGTGGCTTTGTGAACTCTCCTGCCTTTCTTGGTTACAAGAGAAAGATGCATGAGTTCCAGAGGTTTAGATGCCATTACTGAGTCTCAAGTACCACAGGCAAATGAAGGGCATGCATGTAAAAATCTAAATAAAAAGCATTAAAAATTTCCATGGATATGGTTCACATACATCAGCTACATTCTTATACACATAAGACATACATTAATAAGGCCTAAAAGAGAAATCTCGTTCCTACTCCACAATCCTGTGGCTCCCATACAAAAAAAAAAACAAAAAAACCTGCCACCTCCATCATAGAATTGATTGATGAGTTCCTCGTTGCTAAAAGCAGCCTAACATGAGAGTGGTTGGAGCTTTCTTTCAGTTCCAATGTACAAAATACCTGGCTCAACAAGGTGACCGTGCAGCTGTTCAGTTACACTAAATTGGGAAACCATAGGAAGGGACTCAAAGACATTTCATTTTTTCTATATGTCCAAGAAGGCATAAAATCAATGTCTTTTTTTAACATAACAAGGAGAATCATGACCACTAACATACAGTATCTTTAGATCGTCCATAAAATAAAATCAGGTCAAGCATGAGGCTTAGTATCCTTGATCAAAGACATTTCAACCTGCACCCCCAGTGTGTAGGTTATAATAAGGAGCGGAAATGCACTGAGGTACACACAAAGTGTGGGCACCCCCATTTCATGCCTGCGAACAGCTGATGACTTTTCCTTTGGCGTCACTAACAGGTGTAGGTGGGGTTCAGAGTTAAGAGATTGCATATATATACCTAGTGAATGCTTGTCCTATGGGCCATGTGGTATTTCTGCTCAAGGCAAGTTGTATGCAGTTGGCTCTCAGACAGTGTACATAGCAAAGGATAAGTTGTATAAATTCTAGGGATTTGTTTTCCCTTGCTAGGTGAGCTTGATATTTCTTTGTTGGATGCCTCAAAATGTGCCTGCTGAATCGGGAGCTCAGCTTTTAATGGTTCTTCGGTGCCTGAGACCTCTGCGGATATTCAAACTGGTGCCCCAAATGAGGAAAGTTGTTCGAGAACTTTTCAGCGGCTTCAAGGAAATTTTCTTGGTACGTTACACTTACCCTTTGGTTCCAGTTCACACAGCCCAGCTCTGTAATGAAGCTAACCAGGGGGCACAGGGAGTCTCGCTTGCCAGGGGCTAAGTCTCCAATCTTGTTTATCACCAGGAGCCTATAAAGGCACTAACAAACACAACCACACATTCGGAAACTTTACCCATGCATGCTCTGACTTGTTGGTATATCTAATTCAATGAACATTCTTAGTAAAGTAACAATGAAAGGAAAAATCCAAGAGGTCATATTTGCTAACACTTCCATTCCTAATTTGTGACCCTAATTTTTATTCTAGGTTTCAGTTTCCTTATCTAGAAATTAAAGATAAGATTCAACACCACCTACCTCACAAATACTAGCAGTTAACACATTTGGACTCCTTATTTTATTTCATAGGTCCCCAGTTTCTTACCACATAGACTTTGTCTCTGATCTTTGGAGTGTTAACATAAAATAACTCAAAAAAAAAAATGTAACATACAGTTATACCCCACTTTAAGTAGCCTCAGGATACAGTAATGAATACTTGAAAATGGGGAGAAAACATCCTTTTCATTCTTTTCAGTTGGGCAACCCTGATCGAGGGTTCCTTCCAAGAGCAGGGCTGCGGAAAAAAACGATGAGTAGGAAGCTCGTTGCTCACAATCGTTACAGAAGGATCTGTGCCTTACAAAGGAATGATCAAAGGATTCTTTTTATTATTGATGAGTTCTGCTCGTGCATGGAAAACATGAATTAATTTACATAGGCTTATTTTACATCTTGCTCTCTAGAAACACACCTACGGGGAGAGAACAGCTGTCATTGCAGTTGATTCTCGGGTATTTTAAGGACAGGTTGTGAAGTTTCTGTAGGTACAGAGCCGCTAATATTTTTTTAAATACGTATTTGAAATCCCGTATTGTCTTTGTGCTGAAGCCACAACATGGTGGCTTTTCACACAGCTTGAAATGAAGGAGAAAAGGGTATCACCTGACTGCTAATGTATATGCATCTTGGAGCCCTGATAGAATTTAGCAAAGAATCTATTTGCCTTTCTCCCGATGATGTTTCTGTGAGATTTTAGTATATTTAAGGTATATGTTTAGATGATTCACCCAGCAAAGATCAGTGGCTTTGTTCAGTGTTTGACCCTTGGCTACTTTTCTCTGCTGAGACCAAGGCACCATCCAGCAGAGGGAGCACCAGTCAATTAACAGACTTGCTTTTTAGGACCCAATGATCTCACTTCCTCTGGATGCCCTCCCTGCTCACAAGAGAGCAAAACCACTGTCTCTCTAATTTATGCTTTGCTGATAGAGGTAGGAATCCATTTGGAGAAAATGGGGGAAATAGAATTATTCAAACACTTTTCTTTGGTTCCATTCAAGTGTCGATTTCAAAATCAGAAAAACCCAAGTCATATCAAAAATACCATAGCCCGTTTTCTTACTGGAAAGTCATGTGTTTTTATTCTAAAAATCCAAAAGCCGTTGTTAATTCCCTTCTTTTAACATTCCAGCGAGGCTAATTGAATGACCCGAGGTGGAAAAGTTAGACTATCAAGACCAAAGATTTCATACCATGTTATCTGAAAAGTCATGTCCCTATCCCTGTTCAAATCAAGCCTACTGTTGAATTTCTTACCCTGAGATGTGATGTCTCACCACTTTTTTTCAGGTCTCCATTCTTTTGTTGACATTAATGCTTGTTTTTGCAAGCTTTGGAGTTCAGCTTTTTGCGGGAAAACTGGCCAAGTGCAATGATCCTAACATTATTAGGAGGGTAAGATACTACTTTCTGTTGTTTGGGATTAAAATTCGGGTAGTTTGCCACGTCTTGGTCGGCACGTGCTGAGGCTACTTTGAGAACCCTCTCACACACCTAAGAATTCTCTTGCCACCAACCCCTTCTGCTTAAAGCGGGCACTATGTCTCTTCTGGCTAGCACAGGTTTGTGAGATTAAAAGCACACCCCAGATTACTCTACTCTCTCCTGCTCTTCTGGTGTGAGCCTCTGTTGACACCTTTGGCAGAGCCACCCTAGATTCCATATGCTTGTCCCTTTGGGCCTCCCCTAACTTAATCCTGCTTCTGTTATCACGGGAGACTCATATCAGCAAACAGTCCCCCAGAAAGGACAAGAGGCAAAGTTAAAGTTTGACTGTCATACCACTGTTCATTGCTTCTCCACTTCAGCTTTCTCTCCACTGGGAAGTCCAGAATCTTCCCCAGTAGGGCAGCTAACAAAGACCCAAGCTTGACCACTTCTGCTACTGCCCTTTGCCTTATCTTTCTTCAGTCAGTGTTAGTAAGAGGCGGCCAGCTCCTGGACAAGCCAGTGTTTCAGTAGCTGAACATGATGAGAGGAACACATTGCATCTTGGGTAAGGTGGACAGCTCTCTCCAAATGCCCTCTGGAAGACTCAAGTTCCTTTTGTCTTCCTTCTTTATCCACCCTTCGCTATCTTCAGAGTCTTCTCCATTTAGCTGGCAGAGAGGAGCACAGAACCACCTCCACGTTTGAGGGTTACAGGGTGAGCCTCCAGGCAACACACCTCACTTCTACCAGTTTCACTGGAGAGAGCATGGCCTCCCAAGGCCAGATGGGAGAATGCCATAGGTAACTCAGTGACGTAGCCCCAGAAACACGGGCCAAGTATGGTTATAATTAGCCATCACTGCTACACTCTCCAGTGTCCTTGCTCTTAGGGTTCTGCCCTGTGGTACATGTAGATTTAAAAAGTGAGTCACACACTGCTTATGGACAAACAGCGAAAGCATTTCCTCTTTCATCCAGGTAAAATAATGCCTTCAGTCCATTAAAATGCATGTACCCGAAGACCTAATAGAGCTTAACTATAATACATGTTTTTCTATTTCCAGCAAATATGGCTATCTAATACAGATTTTTCATTGGTATGAAAATGCCTACGTTTTCAGGGCTACCGATTGTAAAAATGGTTCATTCTCTAATGGTTATAAAATACAGGTCACATCTTTGTCCAGTCAAAATACATTATCGACTATGTTACAGCGAGGATTTCAGGAAGCAGCAGAGCAGAAGAAACACACTAGGTGGGGCGTCACCTGCGTCGCCAGAGGTTTCTGGAATTTTGATAAGCCTGAGAAGACGTAACAAGGAACATGGCATAAAGGTCATGGTGAACCAAATTAGCTAACAAGGGAGATGATAAAGAGCTGATGCATTCATCCGCACGCTCGAGTCAGGAAAAAAAAGGTTATTTTAGAATCACACTGAATGGAGGCCAGAAAGATGACAACAGCATTGCAAGATGAAGCCCAGGAGGAATTTTGCAGGACTCAGTATCTTAATAATGGCCTAAGCGCATTGTGATTTTACACTATCTACTCATACCCACACCAAGCTAGAGATAGAGGGACAAAAGTTAAATAACTTGTCCAAGGCCACCCCAAAATAAGTGGGGAAGCTATGATTCATGTCTAGGCAGCCTGGCCCCATCGTCCATGCTTTTAACTAAGATGCCAGGACACCTCACTCCATCAAAGGTTGGCCCCTGCGGGCTCAGAAAGACAAACTGGAAGGGGCCATAAGGCCAGATATATCAGGGGGACTCTACTTGATCCGCCACCACACAGCCAATAGGAATAATGTTGCAGATGAACATGTAAAGTTACAAGGAGAAGAAAACTGCAATATATTTTAATATTTTCAAAATATTTGAATATTTTACCCTCTGGAAGGGTAAAAACTGTGCTATTTCATACATAACATAGGAAAAAAGACTGGAAGGATATATGCCCAAATGTCAACTGTGTTTGTCTTTGGGTAATATTAGGTAAGTTTCTCCATGCCTTTGAAGTTAAAGGGGTATTATTTGTGTAAGAAGGCTGTTGTTTTAAGGGATGTTATTGGGAATCCAAAGAGAAATACTGTTGGCATTAACTAAACTAGTGGAAATAAGAACGGAGAAGAGGCCCAAGCAGGACAGGGGAAAGCCGTAGATGACTCTGAGATCTTTATGCCGGGTTGACAAGGTGCTGGTCCGTGGACAGAAATGGGGAAGGTTGGAGGAAACAAGATTGAAGGTGACTTTAACGAGGTTAAAATTTGAAGTTCCACTGAAATATCCAAGTGTATACACATTATACCCAGGAGAGGGGTTTAGGTTCAAAATACGACAATCATGGCCAAAGTCACAAAGATAAGACAAAACGAATAAAGACAGAAGATGAGTGAAAAACTTCTCACTCATGCTTTAAAATCTTTTAAAAACAATGTTATTGGAGATACTCACATACGACACAATTTGCCTGCTGGAAGTATACAGTTGGATAGTTTCTAGCATATCCAGAGTTGTATAATGTCCTAGAACATTTTTATCGCCTCAAACAGAAACTCTGTCTTTTAAGTTTTCCCCTCTATACCCTTATCCCCCTGACAGCCCCACCCCCACATAACCACGCATCTACTTTCTGTCCCTATAGAGCTCCTCGTTTTGGACTTTCATATGAAGGCAACCTACGTGGTCATTAGTGGCTGGCTTCTTTCATTAGCACAGTGATTTCAAGGACTACAATCCACATTGTAGTCCATTGTAGTAAAGTCCAGTGCTGACATGAATAATATTCCATGGCATGGCTACAGCACATTTTGTTTATGTATTCATCTGTTGATGAACACTTGGATCGTTTCCACCTGTTGATCATTATAATTAAGCTATTTACAGTGATAATGACATAAACATTCATGAACAGGTTTCCATGGAGATATCTGTGTTCATTTCTCTTGGGTAAAAACGTAGGGGTGGAATTGCTGCTGGGTGTTCCGGTAATGCTTTGTTTAGTCATTCGAGGACCTGTCACGCTACTTTCCAAAGTGGCTGCACCATTTTCCTGTCCCACCAGCAGCGTGTGAGGCATGCAGGTGTCAGGGGGGTAAGGATATAGAGAGGATTCCAATTTCTGCACATCCTTGTCAAAGCTCATTATTTGACTTTTTGATTATGGCCTTCTTAGTGGATGGGAAGGGGCATCCATCGTGGTTTTGATATGCATTTCTTGGCTGACTAATGACGCCAAACATCTTTCAGTGTATGCATCGGCCATTTGTGTGTCTTCCTGGGAGGCATGTCTGTTTGGATCCTTGGCCTTCTTGCAAATGTTTCCAGCGCAAACTTTCACTGCTCATCTCTGCAGCCGTGGTCCCTGCTTGCTAGGTGGCTGTCCACGTCACTGTTGCCATTTAAAAACCTTTGCTATTCTAGGTTAAAAGTGTTTCTTATCTTTTATCTTTTAGAAATTCATTGTCTGACCAGGCTCCCCCTCCTCCTTTTTTTTTTTTTTTTCCTATTTTAGGAAGATTGTAACGGCATATTCAGAATTAATGTAAGTGTGTCCAAGAACTTAAATTTAAAATTAAGACCTGGAGAGAAAAAGCCTGGATTTTGGGTGCCCCGTGTTTGGTAAGCATATCAAAAAAATATCCTGAAGAATGCTATATTTGTCAGTATAAGGTTTTAAATCAATATAATATGGCATGAAAAGTAATTTTGCTAGAGGTGCCAAGATGATTTTAAGGAATACAAGGCAAAGCACTGAATTACCACAGGATGCAAAAATACAGTAAATGAGCGAGCAAGTGATACACTGACTCTTGTGTTGCTTCATGAAACTAATGGATTGTCACCCCAGTATTTTTCTAATACTTGGAAGTATGTATCTCGATTCACATGGCATTAGAAATTAGTGAGGCTTAAAAGACAAAGTTTTTCTATCAAATTAAAACTAAACTCGTCCTGAGTTTATATCTTTAAGGGAGAATCTGATATCCTCATAACAGTTGTAGAGAAGCCCAAATCATAAAGCTGTTTCAATTTTAAAACCCATTTACACCGAAGGATTTCCATTATGGAAACACTGGAAAGGAATAATCAGGAACTCAAATGATTATATCTAACTTTCTCTTTAAAATTCATTTTTCTTGAAAATGAGTTTTCAAAGCATTTACATCAAAGCTGGAAGTGCCTAGTACCTTCTTTCTCATCCAGTTTATTAATGACCATGAATGAAATCTCTGAGTAGGCTTCATTGATGAACTGAGTGTCCTACTAACTTCATTTGTCCTTTTAAGTAGTCATCTGTTTTCTTTTTATTTCATTTTACCTCTTGGAGTAACAAGTGAACCACAGCGACAACTCTGTTTCTGTCACATTTGGCATGCTCTACTAAATGTCAGAACTCTTTCAAAGAAATTACATTTCACCCACTTGTACCCTTAGGACTCATTGTTACCAGCTCTGGCATTTCTCGAATGTGAAATTAACTCTTATAAACAATTCAGTACAATTTATACTGGGTTTTAATTTTTTTAAATACCAAAGAGTTATGAAAAAAAGGTGAATTTGGCTATGTGGCTTGAGCTGAGGAGGGATGTACATAACTCAGGGAGACATCCTTATCCCGGTGCTTACTGTAAAAGCAGTCGAATTTACATTAAAATAAAATATTAAAGAAGCATAAAGAGTTTATTTTTTGTGAGGTGAAAATGCATTATTACACCATAAATAATTTATTCAGAGCAAGACATCAAATGAGATTTTTTTTTTTTTACTACTCTTTTAGAATTTTGGCAAAAGCCTCAGAGCTGAGGTCACTAGGAGATAAAGTTTGATTATATTCCGAAGAGAGCAACATGCCATTTCCAGCAGCACTGACTAAAAGATCATCCACCTCCATCACCCAGGTCCCGTAAAAGGAAACACTACGCTCAAAGACAGGGTCGTGGAAGTGAAGGAATTCAGTAGACGGTGCTGTGGCTTCTGTCCCTTCACTGTGGAGGAGGTCAGGGGTGCTTGTCTCCCCAGCCAAGTGAGGCCCCCCGTGGGGACTGTTTCATGTCAGAGACTGGCAAGGCGAGAAGAGATGCTCGTGTAGGCAAGCTGCCCTTCACCATCTGGCAGGGCAGGGTTATTGGGTGTTTCTGGAGGCTCCGAGTCATCACTGCCTGGGGCCACCTGATCTGAGCCATCTTGATGGAACTCTGCTGCAAAAGGCTGTATGCTGGGGAGAGGGGGCTCTTGTTGGAGGGGCTGTGGGGGAGTTTCCAGGAATGAGAACTGAGGAATCACCCTCAGACAACCCTCAGCAAGAATGACACAATGGGGCACCCTCATGCTGGGGAATGTTTCAAGATATAGTGTATTAATAGAAAATTTGAGGTATCGTAGAGCCAACAGATCAAGAGACAATTACCACTGAAGAGCTGGTTTGTTACTCATAGTTCCCAAGAGGATGGGGAGGCCACACAAGGAAGCACCAGGGTCAGTCACGAGGCACAGGGGAACTGTGGGCAGGAACCTTTATTGTGGTTTCCCTGAGTTGGGATTGGGTGAGTTGGGGCACGCAGGCTTAGGATTGGCTCGTTGAGGAACTTCAGTGGGCTCTTGGACACAGGTGCTGTCCCTAGTGGTCTGGTACCTGGTGATTAGGGCAGGTGGATGGTGGGCTGGAGTGTGGAAGCCTGATAAAGGAGGTGGTTGGGGCTGTGGACTCTGGGTTGGTTGGTCTGTGTTTGAAAAGCAAGCCCTTAAAAACAACTCCTCGCAAGGAGGTGGGAGGGTGATGGGAGAGGTAGGAGGTCAAGGCAGGGTGATTCAGGCATTTTACTGAGCTGGTCAGAGCAAAGTGTGTCCATCATAGGCATGTAGGACAGATGTTAAAGTATCAAGTTTACAGAAGGTAGGAACATGGCAGACAACGCACTTCCATGAAAAGAATAGCTGTTGGGACCAAAGCAGCAGTGGCTGGTGCCCGCCAGTGTAAGATACATGGACTTGAACTTCATTTCTAAGTCGTCACACCCCCTTCTTGTACGAAGCAGATGGTGGCCTTAAGGGGAGGAGGCTAACAGAGCAGCCAGCACTCTTCTTCCCTCCTCAAGCTGTGGATCAGGCAGAGCAGATAAGGAAGGTGTTCTTGTACAGGTCACGAGAACAGAGGTTTGATGTAGGACGGAGTGGGCTTTTTAGAAGGAGACTCATACAACTGAAAGTGACCAAAAAGCTTTGGGATGTCCACAATGTCAGGAAGGGAGCTAGAACCCCCTAGAAGGCAGTGTTGGGAGAAAAGTAAACCTGTTTCCAACCGTACCCTCTGGCATTCAACCTGTTCCATAAAACCAGCTAGCTACCTGGGATTTTAAAAATTCATGCAGTGTTTCATGTAAGTTATTATTAGGGGTTTTGAGTTTGACAGCACTTTAAAAGCATAAGCTGACAGAGGGGCATCACTTGAAGCCCATTACAATAGGGCTTGTCCGTTGGTTCAGAATATTGCGATTTGGGTTAGTTTTAGGGAAATAAAAATCTCTGTCAAACAAATGTCAACTATAACCACGCTAATTTTCACATTTTCCTTCTTTAGAAAGCTCATCAAGAGTTAGCAGCTGAAATAATTTTATATTGGCAAACTTATGATTAAGGAAATAATTTGTATCTTGGGAATTGGCATTGGGGGATTCTTTGATAATTATAATGAAGAAGAACATAAATATGCACTACCTAATTCAGGAGACAGTCAGGCTTCCATATTCTCTGCTCAGATGAATACATTCATTTCCTTCTTTCTTTCTCTCAGACTTGATGAGATAAAAATTACCTTGTATTATATATATATATATATATATATATACACACATATATATACATAATATTGTGTGTTTTGTTTTAAGCAGAGGTCTAGGACGTAGGAAAATGGAATGCATGAGAGGAATATCAAAAATGAGTACTCAGTTTCAAGAAATATATTTCTTGAGTGCTTACTGATCTTTAGACATTACTCTGTCACTGGGGACAAGCTGTGGTCCCCAATCCTTAGGAGCTTGAAGTGTAGTGGAGAACAGAAATTAGTATTACAAATAATGCAATACAATATGCTAAAGGCTTTGATGCTACATAAATAAGCCCCTGAGCTCACTGGAAGCTTCCCTGGAGTTTACCCCTAGGTAATTTTAAGTCATACCATAATACATTCTAGGCAGAAGATCAGATTTTTGTAGAGTCTACAGCTCAAACAATTTGAGTATGCTTCTTTAAGGAAAATAATATAAATCTACCTTACTTTTGTTTTTTGGGTTTTTTTTTTTTTTTTTAAGATTTAATCCCCTCCATTTAAGAAAGAGAGAGTGCAGGGCGCCTGGGTGGCTCAGTTGGTTAAGCGACTGCCTTCGGCTCAGGTCATGATCCCGGAGTCCCGGGGTCGAGTCCCGCATCGGGCTTCCTGCTCAGCAGGGAGTCTGCTTCTCCCTCTGACCCTCTTCCCTCTCATGCTTTCTATCTCTCATTCTCTCTCTCTCTCAAATAAATAAATAAAATCTTTAAAAAAAAAAAAAAGAAGAAAAAGAAAGAGAGAGTGCATGAGCAGGGGGAGAAGCAGAGGGAGAGGGAGACAAGCAGACTCCCCAAGCGGAGCCCAATGTGGGGCTCAGTCTCATGTTCCATGAGATCATGACCTCAGCCGAAACTAAGATTTGGACACTAAACTGACTGAGCCACCCAGGCACCCCTTCCTTGCTTTTTTAAGTTTAACAGAAATATGATACTTCCAGGGTCTTGGAAGGACCATTTTGGATGACGTCATCTCCTGCATTTCTCTACCCAAGGCCACAGGCTGAGCTCCTCTACTCCTGGGGGTCCAATTCTTCCCAGAGGAGGAGCAGCCCTCCTTATCACGACCTTGGGACCTTGGAGCACTTTTCCCTGAGAGGTAGAAGATTAATGAAATTGTGAGGTCAGAAACCATGTCTTAGTTTTCTGAATTGGATAGACAAGATTATAATATTTTTTAAATTAACCAGAAAAGATTATATTTAAACAGGCTTCCAGATCAAGGAAGGACAACAGGAAAACTGACAACAATGGACTGTGTTTGGGATTTACTGAAATCCTCTGCAGTTATAGATAAAGTTTTAAACTTCCCAATTTTAGTAACATGAACAAAGCATAAATAAACATCTTAGATGATTAAAACGGATACTTACTTTTTTAATGTGATGTATGGTTCCAACTAGTTAAGTCTATAATCCTCCATTTTATTTTTCTTGGTTTAGCCTAAAAGTGTATTTTTAACATGTTCTAACTTCTAAAGGATGTGGAACATGAAAGTACTTTGGGTTGCTGCAAATTCAGCTAAAAAAGCACTTTTACATAAAGAAAATGGATGGGTAAGAAAGTTCAACATCAGATCTGAGAGCCGGCTTGCTTGGCTTAAAAAAAAAAATCCTTATTCAAGAAAACGGTGGCATCTGCAGAATCCTTACGGCTTCTGTCTGCTGTAAAATATATTAAATTTAATTGAAATCCCCAAAGGAAAGGATGTTGGAAAAATCCAAGAGAATATGCTTGTACTTTCATACTTAAAAAATATAAATCAGAATCCCAAAATAGGAATTTCTGAGTGGGGTTTTTGCAGTATATGGAAAATGTTTCTACCCATCAGCTTTAAACCTTTAGGAGCAAGTCAGTGTAGCTGTATGGTTTCTTACTAGATCCTCATTTATTTAGTATTTAAAAATATTTTGAAAAAGAAAACTTAATGTAGGTGCACTGCATGATTGTTTCTATGATTTAAAAAATATATATAAAAGGTGGCAGAAAAATACTAACCCAGGTTTTCCCCAGAGTGTTGCCTTTTGTGAAGGTTAAATTTTGATAAATGAGCTAGCGGGAAAAAGAAATGATCAAACTGTAATTTGGTTAGGCTTCTATAGGCTTACTCTTCTTAGTAGTGCCAGGCCCAATTCTCCATCAAATCTAGGAAATACAGTAATAGTCATGACTTCCCATTGTGTAGTTGTCTAGATTTTATAATTATCTTCAATAGTCTAATAAGGGGGAAAAGAGAAAAACACTGAAATCTTTCTACTGACAACAAAAATGTTAGCTAAGACCCATAATGACTAAGGGAGATGTAATATATAGAAAAGATCCCTTTTGTTCGTGGGAAGAAAAAAGTAAAACATCAGAAAAACAAGAAATGACCCATCCCCCCTTCAAAAAAGTTAATAGTGGAGACAGAGTGTTTTAGAAATCAGGAATCAACTGTGGGTGTAGAAAGCATCTTGCAGCACTGGGGTCTACGAGAAGTCTCTGTTGAGAACACCCAGAGGTAATGAGAGAAAAAAAATCCCACTGGGAGAGAATGTTCTGGAAACATCTAGGCTATGAGCAAACACCTCTTGCCACTCAGTGACCTCTAAATGCGTCACTACTTTACAGCGTGATAGTCCCGTGATGTCAAGAATTAAGGAAAGTGGCCAGATTCTACTCTTTTTACACTTTCTATATTAACATCAGGAATTGTAGTTTACACCTGTAGAAGAGTTTTTCAGTTATAAAACTATTGCAAAATTCATACCCAGGGGCACCTGCGTGCCTCAGTCAGTTGCGCCTCAGATTCTTGGTTCAGCTCAGGTCATGATCTCAGGGTCGTGAGATCGAGCCCCACGTCGGGCTCCATGCTCAGCTGGAAGTCTCTTGAGATTGTCTCTCTGTCTCCCTCTGCCCCACCCCCCACTCTCGCTCGCTCGCTCTCTAAAATAAAGATATCTTTTTTTAAAAATTCACAGCCAGACTCCACCGCCCCTTAGTGAGAATCTCCCATGCAGTTTGTAACTAGAAAGTGTGTTTCCAGCCCTGGGTATAATCAGGACAAGCCAGAAACCTCGCAGAACATCTAGAGCTAGAAGTTGAGTTTGTTGCCTTTTGTTGCCTCCTGCTAAGAACGCCCCATTATTACCCAGGAATTCCGTTTTAAGAAATTATAAGGCATGCATGCATTTTTATGATTGAGCAAATGAATGCCGTCTAGCCTACCTTCCAAATGATAAACATACCCCCCACCTAAGACCGGAAAGAGCTACAGGATATTTGCCCTAGGCTGCTTCTCCTCGAATTTCACAGAGCATTCCTCTTTCTGACTTGCAGGGCAAATCCTCGGAATTTTAATTTTGACAATGTGGGAAATGCTATGCTGGCATTGTTTGAAGTGCTCTCCCTGAAAGGCTGGGTAGAAGTGAGGGATGTTATTATTCATCGTGTGGGGCCGGTAAGCAAGCACATGGAATCCTTTGAATGCTCAACAGCTGCTTTCCTTTGCTTTGATGAATAACCGTGTTTTTCATTTATACAGATGCATGGGATCTATATTCATGTTTTTGTATTCCTGGGTTGCATGATTGGACTGACCCTTTTTGTTGGCGTGGTTATTGCTAATTTCAATGAAAACAAGGTAAGCAGTCTTGGTTTGAATACCGCAGGGTTTATCTGGTTCTAGCCACTTGCTTTGAGCTCTCTTTTTCTCCCACGGTGTGAAGTCGCATTCAACCCCTAATGTGACTGGTGTAAATAATCTCTATAACTAGTTGACAGGCTACCTCATCGCTGCCTTTCAGGCACACTATTTAAGAGCACGGTTCTCTTGCTAAATTTCCCCTTTTGATAATGGTATCATTAATTCGCTGACAACTGAAAGGCACATCTCCTGTTGTTCAAACGGAAAGGAGGGGCAGCAAGTTATGAAAACACGAGCTGAACTAAGGGACGCGCTGATTGCAGGTGATATTAAACTTTCACACAATGTAAACTGGATGCTTTGTAACTCCAGAGGTGAACTCGGCATTTTGATGGGGTTGGGGGTGCAGGAGAAAATGTTCAATCCCAATTCACTGAATAAAAAGAAGATGTTCTAATTTCGGAGAAGAACTTTACATACTTTATGAACTCGGGAAACATTCTGAGATCATAACAGCTCTAACGATCAGTACAAGAGCTCCCAAATGGGAAACTGGCCAGCATATAGTTTCCTGTCAGAAAGTGAGTTTGGGGGCAGAACATTCGACCTCATTCTTCTGGACATGGCGGATATGCCCTCTATTATGTAAGGGTCCAGTCTTCTGGAATCCTAATAATCGAGGTGCATACAGCTTTCGAGCACTTACTGTGCACTAAGGTTGACATATGCTGTTTTCAATTCTCTCGACTCTGAAATGCACAGTGGAAGCGAAAACAGCTTACAGAGGTGACATAACTTGTCTGGGGCTTTTAAGGTGTAGAAAAGCCAGGGCCAGAATTCAGAAGTGGTGCCGACTCTGCAGAGTCTGAGAGTCTTCCAATTCAAGAGTATAAAAATGTCGACCGTTGCCCTGCAGTGAATGAAAGCTAGACATGCCGCACAGCACCGTGCTGCTCCTGGGATTCAGGGCTCGTACCGAATCGCACACAGCCACATCAGAGCCTGCTGGTGAGGGCAGCTTTACCTGGGACTGTATCATTCATGGTCCCCCCAGGCTCCACACGTGTGGTTCCAGCTACTCAGTCAATTGCCACCTTTGATGTGTGCCTAATGAGGACCTCATTTCGTCCCGGCTTTCAAAGGGTGTGACTTAAAAATCCCCCTTTGGGTCCCAACACTACTCCGACCCACAGAAACATGGGATTTCAGTGTAAGAAAGAAGGATAGAGAGAGATCATATTGCCCAGCCCCCTATTTTACTATAACACATTCATAAATGAGTGTCTTTAAGCCCTACAGTGTGTTCAATTTAATACCAAGCAGAAGGAGGAAGATAGGTCTCTTTAGATGCCTTTGAGCCCTGCACTAGAGCAGACACCGGGGATTCCTGAGTAAGAGCAGAAGCCAGTCAGTCAGTTAACAGAGAGCTTAGGTTCTGCTCGCTCAGAACACCGTGCTAGGCCCTCTGAGCAGACACCTGGTTTCAGGAGAATCAGGTCCTGATTTCAGAAGAATCAAAATCAGCGACATAAATGCAACAACATAGATGTTCAACAACTAGAGACGAATATATAATCAATCGCAGCCCTTGAACTTAGAGGAATGGCTAAGTAAGCAGAGTGTCAGGAGGTTTACTCACCATACTGGTTGTATTTCTTTTGTTCTGAGGGAAGAAAGAAGCATCTTGGCTTGGGTAAGGGGAACGTGGACATAAGCTCAAATGGGTGCTTAGAGCAAGAGGAAAAGTAGAAGAAATCACATTACCAGACATTACAAATTTGATTATTTAATTGGAGATCCAGATTTCTGAATTATATGAACCATTGAGAAGAGATCTTTGTTTTCTGTAAGCTTTTCAGAGGGTAGTATGTGAGCTGCTGTATAACAGCATTTATTCATTTATCATTCAGTCATTCGACAGATTTCTTTGAGCACTTACTGGTGCCAGACACTGCTCTTGACCCTGGGGACACAAGAAGCTAAACACACAAACTAAACACTAAACACATAAAGACTTCTGCCTTCCTGAAGCTCACATGCTAATGGTCATACCCAAAGGTATGTGAGCAGATTTCCAAATATATAGGCAGTGGGGAAATATAAAGATATGGGAAATAAGGCAAGCTTTGGGGGCAATGTTTTCACAATTCAGAATTATGGAAAATTATGTCTTCCCTAGAAAATGGAACCCTGTCTAAAAAGTTCAAAGTCTATACTAGTAATATATGTATTTTTAATTTCTTGATTATGAGATAACAGTTTGATTAATAAACTTAATTTCACAATAATAAGCTTTCAGAGGTTTTCACGCATTAATGAACAGATGATACCACCATGCTTATTATTCTTTTGGATCATTTCAGAGTTCAACTTTCTAAAATAATTTGTTCTGTATATTAAGGAATAATATGAATGTGTGTTGCACCCAGAGAACCCAAAGTATTTGTTTGCAGTGAGTGAGAAAAATGGTTTAGCAATACTAATATTAGAAAAATTAACTTAAAACAAATATCATTATTAGGAATAAACAGTGTAATTAAATAATTCCCAAAGAAACTAATCCCTAGCAAAGTATAGAACTCCTGAACCATAAAATATATGAAGAAAAAATGATCCAAATTATTTTAAAAAGCTAGCAAGTCCAAAATCACAGTGAAAGATATTAACATATTTCTCTAAGAAACTCATAGACAGGAAAAAAAAAAAAGAAAATATGAGATTTGACACAATAAAAACATTTGATCTACTGGACATAAAAAGAACCCTGACCCCAATAATTTTCAAGTATAAAAGGTACCCTCTACAAGGTCATAAAATAATACCAAAAAATTGATAATGTACAGAGCGCATTCTCTGTAATAATAAAAAAGATAACAAAAATCCCTCATAAGTTGAAGATGTTAAGACAACATTCTGAATAATTTATGAGTCACTGAAGAAATCAGAATAGGAAAGCACAAGACACTTAGATAAATCATTTATAAAAATCATAGATGAAAGCTCACAAGATACAGGTAAATCAGTAGAGGGAAATTTATAACTATAAGTGTACATTTTTTAAAAAAATCAAAGATTAATTAATTAGTAATATGTCACATAGCCAAATCAATAAATTATAATAAGAACAACAAAATGGAAGAAAGTAACAAAGATAAGGACAAAAATTAATTATATAGAAAACAAAGATACGATAAAAGATTCAAGAATGACAAAAACAGATTCTTTAAAAAAATTAAATTGACAAACCTCTCTCAAGGTTGAGCATGAACAAAAATGTAGAAAAGGAAAATAAACAAGCTATAGTGAGTCAAACAGGTTAGATAATGATACAAGGACAGAAAGTTAAACTTACAGAACAAAACCGAAAGCCATAGAAGGGACAGGTATATATAAAACAGAAGTAGCACAACAAATCAGCGGAGACGATGAGACCATCAGTAAGTGATGCTGGGGTCATTGAGTGTCTACATAGAAGAAACTAAACAGAGATCCCTACCTCACAGCATACTCAGAAATGAATTCCAAAAGAATGAAAGACCTACCTATGAAAAACCATTTGTCAACCATGTAGAATTTATTTTTGACCCTGCCGTAGTTGTGGATTTCTTGACTTTAACCACAAAGTGGAATCTATAAAGAAAGAAATTTATAGATTAGATTACATTAAAATGAAAAGTTTCTGAGAGATAAGAGACATGATAAGCAAAAATTTCTTTAAAAAGCATGCTAAGACTAAGAGGAAATATTTACAACTCATGTAACTGGCAGAAGATTAATATCCAGAATATATTAAGAATTTCTATAAAACATCTAAAAGTAAATATCCAAATACAAAAATGAGCAAAGAATATGAACAGGCAATTCACATAGGAAGATACAGAAATCACGCCCCCATTTATACACGTAAAAAATGTTTCATCTCATTGATATTAAAACTAAATTACATACATTTCCCCCCCTTCGTGGCCAAATTTAAATGTCTGATAATACCAAGTATTGGCAAGAATATTAGGACATGAATACTTGGAGATTGCTAGCAGCAAATTTTCTTGGTTATTCCTCTTTGGACAGTAACTTCACAATATCTGACAAACGTAGAGATGCATAAATCCCTAACCCCAGCAATTCCTCTCCTAGAGATTTGCTATCAAGAAAGTCTCATAGATGTTCACCATGAGGTAATACATGTGTGCTTATTGCAACATTTTTATAGTAATATAAAGCTAACTTCCGATATATTTGTACAGTGAGATACTCTGAACAGTTAAACCAATTAGGTCTAGTGACTAGTTGTATGCACAACATAGTGTTCAGTGAAGATAAAAACAAACTACATAAATAAGCACAGATTGGATACCATTTATATAAATTTTTGAAATTCAAAACAAGTATGTTCTTATGTATTGATACATACACAAACAGCAAAATCTGAAAACATCGTGAGGGGGACATACTCTTGAAGGACAGTAATTAGCTCTGTAGAAAGAAAGGAAGAATGGGAGTGGAGGGTGGGTGGGGTTTTTTTTTCCAGTTCTGCCTTTATAATGTAGCAGAATGAAATGTCACGCAATATAATATATATGGATATAGCATTTTAATGAAGTACTCCTATATATATGCACACACATATATATAATAAAGAATATTTTATCTCATTTAGACATTTGTTGCAGCATTAATTCTTCAAGATTCAAATTCTGTGACTTCATACCACTTGAAAATAGTTTTTTTATTATATATATCAGAATGATTTAAAAAAAAAAAAGGACACAATCACCTTAACCAGAAGCAAAAGATAGACAAGCTACAGTTTTGCTGCAGCATTTCCCACAATGAAACGAAAGGAAACTAACCACTTATTAGAGTGGGTATCCCTTTTTGAAAATCTGATTGTATAGAGAACCTTCTTTAGATTTTCCCAAACCTGAATATTATACATCTTCAAAGATGCCAGTTGAAGGCCACCCTTTTGGGGACTCCTCTCAAGACCACATTTGAGAATTCTGACCATGCCTATCGAACCATCATGGTATTTGAAGAATATCTTTATTTCACACCCCCAAATTAGTCCTGTTGGTATCACCACCCCATTTGCAATGCCCTCGGTGTGGAGTAGACGACATAAGGCCTTTTTCTGCTTTCCTTTGTTTATTAAGGGGACAGCTCTGCTGACTGTAGATCAGAGAAGATGGGAAGATCTGAAGAGCCGACTGAAGATAGCACAGCCTCTTCATCTCCCACCTCGCCCGGGTATCAAAGATGCTCTGATTTTATTCATGTTGGGCACCAGTGTTCATGATTCCCCAGGAGTCTAAGATTTCAATTAAAATAATAATCGTGAGGCCACTAGGCGGTTGTGCATAAGTTAATATAGAAACAGGCTCCAAACTACAGATCTCTCCATAGGCTATTAAAATCAACCACCCGAAGGCTGTGCTTCAATGCTCTCAGGATAAGCCCTAAATGAAAAAATGAATTTTTAAATAAAATATATTTGTGCTTGCCTTTTAAACATATGAGTGAAATGTATTAAACTGACAGAAATTGAATGATGCGGTTCTCCTTCCAATACGGACGGCGTCATGCACCGTCGTTTTAAATATTCAGAACCAGCCATTCCTGCAAAACACCACACAATAGATTGAACTATAGGAGGAAAAAAAAGTAATGAGTTTTAAAACGAGCATTAAAGGAAATGAAAGACAAGAAAGTAAATGTGACCTATGTCTGAAATGCCCTTGCCTCAACCTCTCTTTTGCAGATAATGATGGTTTTAGAGCTAAGATGTATGACATAACCCAGCATCCATTCTTTAAGAGGACAATTGCATTGCTTGTCCTGGCCCAGTCGGTGCTGCTGTCTGTCAAGGTACTTTTCTTTCACGCTGAAACTCTGGGAAGGACTTGTTTGTTCATTGGTGCATCCAAGAATATCGCAAGGGGCCATATCCGTTCACAGTCTTATGTTTTTTAGTGTAAAAAAATTAAAACTAACAGTCATGTTCTAAGGAGAGAAAGAGAGGAAGGTCTTGATGGGTCTGATGGATGCAGACAAAGACCAGTGCGCTGTTTCTCTTACAGTGGGACGTGGAGGACCCAGTGACCGTTCCTTTAGCAACAATGTCGGTTGTTTTCACCTTCATCTTCGTTCTAGAGGTACAGTAATGAGCCAGCCGGCCCTGGGGGCTGCAGTGGGCATTGCAAAGTAGAGCAGTGACCTCCTTTGATAGCACCCATGTTCAGCTCTGTGTTCCATTGTTTTTGAAGTTTTTTTTTGGGGGGGGGAGAGGGGTGGCATGCTCGTAAGGTATTTTCCTTATGGGGCTGTGAACAAAGATTTCACTTTATATGTCAGATTTGCCTAATGGCAGAAATCGCTAACTGCTGTTGATTATTGTATCTGAATGTTGGCCTGTCTGGTTATGTGAGTTCAAATATTTGTAGCGAACTGCACAAACCACAAAGTCCCTGTTCAGGGACTCAAATCACAATGTTGTGGCCAAGGGAGTTAGCCCAGAGAGGATTATTTTAATATATGGTCCGTATAATATCACTTTCCAGTGCAATCTTCTTTGAAATACAAGCAGATTCTTATTTCACCCTGTACTGGTTGATGTTTCCCAAAATCAATGGTCTTTTACTTGAGGAAGAAAAACGTCCTGCTATCAGAACTAGTCATAAAACAAGGAGAAAAGAGCCGGAGAATATAGATTTGTAACCTACCAAGCTTTAAAATTTAGATAGATAGATCTATTTCTATATCTCTGTATCTTTATCCATCTATCTATCTCTTGGTAATAAATTCTTCTCTTTGGTTCCTACCTCCTTTAAAAAATGTGCCTCTTCTCTTTGGTTCCTACCTCCTTAAAAAATGTGAGGCACATTTAAATATATGCTGAACACTCAGCTTCTATTTACTGTCTTCCTTATCTTCCCCCAGGTTACGATGAAGATCATAGCAATGTCACCTGCCGGCTTCTGGCAAAGCAGAAGAAACCGATATGACCTGCTGGTGACATCACTTGGTGTGGTCTGGGTGGTACTTCACTTTGCCCTCCTGGTATGCATGTAATTCAAGTTTATTTTAGTTGATAACTTGGGTTCAGGTAACCCTGTTTCCGGTCTCATTTCAGTCCGTGTCAGCCTACCCTCAAGTGTCAGATGAACCTCCCTACATCCGTCCTTGCCCGTGACGGGCCCTCTGGCGAGCTTGCGCACACAACCCCCCACACTCTTCCCACAGACAAAATCTGGCCCTTCGGAGTCCGAGAGTGGGTGAATCAGAAGAAGAACCTTTAAGACCTCTGGTTTAACTCTCATTTTCCCAAAGGATAAAAATGAGAGAGAGAGACAACAATGGAAACAGAGATCATGAGACCTGCCTAAATTCACATACAAGCTGGTATCAGAAGGCTCAAACCCAGTTTTGTGAACTGAAGTGTAGCATCCATGCCACTATGTTCTACTCAGTATTTCACAGTGGAATTCTCAGGCACTTTTGCTGCCTTATTTCCTACTGACATCCAGCTGCCATTTCTCTAAAACCCGTCATTCCCAGTGTCTCTACCTGAGTTCTCACTAGTTTGCCTAAAATGCCTCCACCTTCCATGTAGTCTGAGGTCCAGCTCAAAATCTATACCCGTGGGTGTGCTTGACTGAGATCTAGAACTGTGTTGTCCAATAAGAACAAAATGGGGCCATGGATATAATTTCAAATATTCTAGGAGCCACATTAAAAAAATAAAAAAGGAACAGGTGATGTTAACTTAATTATGTTAACCTACCATATCCAAAATATTATCATTTTAACATGTCAGCAATATAAAAATACTCAGGAGAGAGATTACATCCTTTTTTTGTACTAAATCTTTGAGTGTGTGTTTTACATTTATAGCACATCTTAATTTAGACTCCCTGCATTTCAAGTGTTCAGTAACCACATGTGGCTGGTGGCTGCCATCCTGGACAGCATAGCTCTAGAAGGCCCTACTCTGAGCTCCACCATTTTCCAGCCTTGATCGGGTTATTTGTCTTCAGTGATCCTTTGTTCCCTGCTATGAACTTGGGGATATAACTTCATAATTTATCCATTCCGTATGAGCATTATAGAGATCAAGCACGTGAAGTTCTTCTAACTGTAAAGAGTACACAAACTCATAACACATTCTTATAAGGACCTTCTTTTTTTAGTCTTCTTTGATCCCAGACAAAAGTAATATTATCAGATTTCCCTGCTCTCTTCTATCCATTCTCCGATCCTCTCCAATGTTAGAGTCACGCCAGAAAAGATCCATCACACCCAGAACCCATTTACACATTACAGAGGGCGTGCTTTCGTATGAAATTGCTGTGCTCTGGCAGGTAGGTATTGGGTGTACTTCTTAAAACAACTGTCACTTCAGTGTCAGGGGCTGTGCCAAGCCTTGGTGGGCTCTCAGTCACCCTGATCCATTTCCTCCAACGATAAATGGTTTTGATCACTAAAGATGTGCAAGTCACCATGCTGGGAATGGAGAAGAATGCAGTGAACAAAACAAAGGCATGTTTCGTTTTATTTTAAAGTTTTAAGGCAGAATATTTAGTCATGATCAAGAGGTTGGGGGGACTTTGGGACAGCTGCAGGTAGGCATTCATGGAAGGCTCCCAAGTCAATGAGAGTCACAGCCATAGTGAGGCAGATGGAGGAGAGACACGTATTCCTGGGATGACACAAGGTAGTGGGAGGTGGCTTCGTCAGAGAGATCCTAGAAACTGTCCCTACAGAAATGATGGCTGCCGGGTTCAGTCTGTAGGACGAGGGGCATGTCAGCGGCTGTCCCTATGATGGAACGCTGCGGGAGGGAAACAGTGCCTGGAGTAGAAGGAGCAAGGGGAACACGGCATGAGATCTGGATGGCACCTCTTGGGACCTGGCAAAGGATGGGCGTCATCCTCGTAGAAGCCATTGGGTGTCGTCTCTTCCAGAATGCAAGGTGAGAAGCCATCTATAACAGATTTGGAACTAATGTAGAAAGGGGCAGCCAGGTCCATGTTTTTATCTTTCCCTAGACAAATGGAGCCAAAAGCGACTTGGTCCAAGCAGAAGAGTAGAGCAGGCTTCCCAATTCCAGATGTCCCAGAGAGGACATCTCACACCGAAAAGACCAGCTTGCCTGTTCTCCCTGACCACTTTTGTTCTCCTCCAAGAACCTCCAGTTCTGGAAGGATGCTCATCCTCCGTGCAATTTTGCAGTGGTCTATTGTGAAGGAAGATGCAGTCCTTGTTCCCATCCAAAGTTATTTCTGTGTAGACACATTCATTTCCTTCTACCTCAAGAATATCACCGGACCCCCTTCCTGGGGGCCCATATGTGACTGTTGTCACTTGGCTAGGCAAGGCTCCTTGAGAAAAATCATGCTTTGGCATGAGTTTAATGCCACAGTTGTTATTGCGGTTCTAGCTGATGGGATCTTTGTTTCCGAGATGAAGCTTTCTTAGTCATAAAGCAGACCCAGTCATCTCTTGCTGCCGATCGCACACTTGAAGAATGAGCTGGATGTGTTTCTGGGCAAGGTAGACATCTCTGAAATCAGCTTACAGGAATGTGGCTGGCTGGTCTCCAGAGTCTCCAGAGACCTACAGAGAGGGGAAAGCTGACCTCCCGCCATCTTTTCCAACACCACACCTCCACCTTTGCCAGGAGTCCTGCATTTCCGGTCTCACTTGGCTTCCTCATGTTGCATTGGTACCCTACGTTTTTCTTGCTCCTCAAAGGAGCTGGTCACTATTTTATGTAAAATAAGTTTTAAAATACAGAATTCAGCTAAGCAAAACAGGGAGCGAAGTTTCATTTAAGATTTGATTTTATAGCTAATATTTATTCATGAGTTTTGGCAGTGACCTTTTCAACACCTTTTAAAGATAAATTTCTTATAAGAATTTCACATTTTATTAAACTAATTACTCAGTAGACTTCACAGAAGACTTAAAATGAAAACTGGAACTGTAACAAGATCTTTTGTGCACATTATGAGTGGCTCTCTTCTTTTTAAACTTCAGAACGCATATACCTACATGATGGGTGCCTGCGTGATTGTCTTCCGGTTTTTCTCTATCTGTGGAAAGCATGTGAGTACGTTGTAAAGGACACTATCAAAGGTTACATATGCACAGAAAAAAGGAGTGAAGCCTAATTGACTTCAGCTGTCCTTCTCGGTCTTGGAAGTTAACAAATTGCTGGTCATCCAAAGTCCAAATGAGCAAATATTAAATATTAAAATGAATCAGTAGCTTAGTTATCTTGTGATATGTTTCCTGATATTTATGTTGTTTTATTTATTCTTCATATTTGCTATATGAACTCAATCATCAACTAAAGATAACATATTGGGCATGAAAGCAAAAGCCAACAGTCTTCTTAATACTTCTTTATTTTTATTGTTTTTATTTGTAACAAAGTTATTTTACTGCAAAGAAAAATAATCCTTAATGAAGCTTCATGATTCTGTGATCCCAGATTTCTTCATATTTTTTCTTGTTCACGCATACACTCGGCATCTATTTGTCACTTTTTAAAGTTGCTTCCCTTTTCATTAGTGACATCATTTCATAAACATTCCATAAATGCACATGTTTAGTACATTCAATGTTTGATGCTATTTAGCATTTTGTCATTGTTTAGGCTTGTTTCTGTGAACATCTGTTTGTGGAAGAATCCTGTCTACGTGATGGGATAGGCCAGAAATGGACAGCCCTCCTCATAGAGACTTAGGCAGCAAGAGAAGAGAAAACAGGAAGCTAGGAATTTTAGGGAGGGGCTTTTATTAACTTGGCTGAAAATGCTGAACAGTTTGAAATACAAGTTGAATTTCTCTGTTTTTTTGAATAATATTCAGATTTAATACCCTTTAATAAGAATTAATTCAAAGCAATTGTCAAATGAAGGTCACTCTTGTGCCAACCTGCGTACCTGTCATTCACTTCCCAGGTTGGCCCTGTTAAGTGAATTAAATATTCATTTTCTCCTCCCCATCTTCATCTACAGGTAACGCTGAAGATGCTCCTCCTGACTGTAGTCGTCAGCATGTATAAAAGCTTCTTCATCATAGTAGGGATGTTCCTATTGCTCTTATGTTATGCTTTTGCTGGAGTTGTTTTATTTGGTACTGTGAAATATGGAGAGAATATTAACAGGTGGGTGTATATTTATCTTTCTATTCATTTATCAAGCAAACTTTCTTAGTCATGAAATCATGAATAAAAAATCCAATTGACTTTTGCCTGTTGAAGACAAAAGAGAAGGGGGAAGCGATCAGTTGGAAATGAAAACAAAATAAAATGGCCAAATCTTAAATCAAATTTTTCTAATTAAAAAAAAACCTACATATTGACTTTAGGAACCTTATTTCCATAATATTCCCATAATGTAACACAAATCCATAATTCCAAATCTACCACCATGCAGGAATAACCACTTGTAATATCCTGGCGAATTTCTGTCCAGATCATCTACTGCCAAAAAACAATATATTCTTTTTTTAATTACACTTTAAGATGACTTTGGGTTTTCCTTTTTCTTTTCTTTTTAAAGCCAAACATGAGAAGTCCTAACTCCCAAAGTGGTTACTATGTATGAAAAGCATTTTTCAAAGATTATCTTAAATTCTGTGGAAGCGCCTCGTAGATGTTTTTTAAAAAGTAATTACTCAACAAATTAAATACAATTGTGTCTTGTTGCAGAGATTACTTACTTGATCCATGGCAGCTCCGCATTTTATAGCTCCATGTGAAAGAAGGAATCACTTTTACTTGTCAAAGCTGGGACCCTCAGTGATTCAAGATGCATGGCCGCAGATTGGCGGCACCATGCTAGGGTTGGGTTATTCAGACAGCTATTCTTAAGGGCAAGTATGAATAACAAGCAAATTAAGAGGGTATAGCCTTTAGACATGGTAACTTAGCAACCAAATTTGCTCCAAAAGCTGCCTCTTTTAGTGGGGACACCTTACTACTTCATGACAAACCGTATTACCCACGTTCTGGTTTTTCTTCCTTACATAGGCATGCCAACTTTTCTTCAGCGGGGAAAGCCATCACTGTACTATTCCGAATCGTCACAGGCGAAGACTGGAATAAGATTATGCATGACTGTATGGTAAACTTCTCTTCATCCCTAACAGTGCCCCAACTTAGAACCAAATGAAACTCTTCGCTATGCCACATTGGCAAGCATCATCCTCATTAGCATGAAGACTTTGTGTACAAAACACATAGCCTGGCCGTTTAGTTCATAAAATTGCATTCTTTTCCATTACAGTGTTTGGATATCCAGTGAAGCCAGCTTGAGTTATTGTAGTTCCATTTGGCAATCCGAATTATGTGGACATTGTTCCTTCCCTCCTAGCTTTAACATTTTGGCAGTCAAGTACAGCCAGGGGAGTTCTGCTTCTTTAACTGAATTTACTCAACAGATATTCCCTGAGCACCTGCTTTATACTGGGCCATATGCTAGGTGCTAGGTCTCCCATGATTCCAGCGCATGCTCAAGGAGCTTACAGCCGGGCTCTGAGCCACACCCTCCCTTTGGTTCCTCTGTCCTCCTCGCTGTCCCTCCCATCTCCAGTGCAACATTGGCTCCGTCAGGAGTCCCGCCCTACGCTAAGACTGCGGTGCTATGTTCCTACAGCATTCCGTGTTTCTCCTCTGTAGCGTGTACCCCAACTGTAGTGAGTTACTGGCTTGATTATTTCATCTGTATTTCCTCCCTCACAACCTCAAGAACAACGCTGTCCAGGAGAAATTTCAGCAATGCTGCTGGCAATCTGCTCTTTCCCATTCAGTAGCCCTATGTGGTTCCTGAGCCCTTGAAATGTGACTAGTGCACCTGAGCAACTGAATTCTAAATCTTATCTAACAGTGTTTGATGTTCATTAACGTACATTTACATTTTAACAGCCACATGCAGTCCGTGGCTCCCATAGAGCTCTAGACCGGCAGCAACATGAAGAAGGGACAGAGTCTATGTCTTGCTTAGACTTGTCTGTCTCCAACGCTGGGTAGAAATCTAGCCCATGGTAGGAGCTAAAGAACTCTATGCGTGAATGAACAGGGACAGAATTTACCGAATCAGATATAATAGAAGGCAGGATTAAATAAATTCTAAATAAAGAACAAGCAGAGTGCTATGGGAATGTAGTCTCTCTCGCTGAAAGAGACCAGGTCTCTCAGAGGTGTTGGCATTTTATTGGGCCACTGAGGACAGGGAGGCTTTTGATAACCTGAGCCTTGTGCTCTTCTGTAATGTCCCAGAAATGTGCTCCAAGAATGAGGATTACTGGTTTCTTCTTACACAGTTTGAATGTGAGTCTGCTACGTATAACAAATCTTCATAAATCTTAACCCATTAGTTAGGTCAGAGAAGTCTTTTAGATGCCTTTTTCTTTGACTTTGTGTAGTTCCCATCATAGTGACTACTTAGCATTCAGGACTAGTGGAGGTGACAGAAAGAATGTCTCTTGGAAGAAACCGGTTCATTTTCATTGTGCTTCTAAAATGGCAATGAACTTGGGATTCTCCAAGACTGGAAGTGTAAAATAAATGAAATACTCTTTTTGATTTTTGCCAAGGGTGATGTGTGTGGCTTCTGAGAGACTAACTTGAAATTAATTATATTTTCTGTGCGGAGGAATAGTCCCCCCACCACAGCGGGCACACTCTCATACCTCCTCACTGTCCCCCGTGGCCCTGCAGGTCCAGCCTCCCTTTTGCACTCCAGATGAATTCACATACTGGGCAACCGACTGCGGAAATTATGCTGGGGCACTTATGTATTTCTGTTCATTTTATGTCATCATTGCCTACATCATGCTAAATCTGCTTGTAGGTAAGTGATGTTCATTGAATATGTTTTAATATCCTTAAGCTCAGGTACTTAGATAATTACGTACAATTTGCAAGTAATTATCCCAGATTGCTTGGGGCGAGTGTTTCACAGCATTAATTATAAATTGTTGCCTCTCAATCCAGAAGCTGAAAAGACCTTTGAAAGGCATGTAAATGACAGTTGATTGCAATTTCAGGAGTTGTCCTATTAATTATCATTAATTTCAAAAGAGCTCTTCTCACGCGTTGAGTTGAACAGATCTCAGGGAGGGCTACCTTTAGGGCCTCGAAAGATCACAGTTATGTTTTTGAAAGATACACGGTGTTCACCCAGGTGTGGGGCCACCCAGAACCCAATCTGACCTTTACAAACTGCCCTGGAACCGTCAACTAAGAGGGAAAGCCAGTTGGCATGGGTATCTCTACACACAGAAGGTCTGTTTTTGCTCATGACCCTCATGTTTTGGGAAAAGGCAAGAGGTGGATAAATAGCGTAGTCCAAGTGTAACCATATGCCAACTTGGAAAACACACTAAAAGCACTTTAAAGATTTGGCTTAAAATGTAGGTGATAAAATCCATTATTTATAATAGATGTTTTACTCTTTCTAAAAAATGACACATTAGCCTAATTATCTAACTTCTCCACTTTGCTTCTTTCTCTTCTTAGCCATCATTGTGGAGAATTTCTCCTTGTTTTATTCCACGGAGGAGGACCAGCTTCTAAGTTACAACGATCTTCGCCACTTTCAAATCATATGGAATATGGTGGATGATAAACGAGAGGTGGGAAAGGGGGCTGCTTCTTCATGCCCACCCCAAAGAGACTCATTGCCCTCCCTCAACGGTTTAACTGGTCCTTTTGTCACCAGGGGACATCTACTGAATTTGGACTGGCCATTGATGAATTGTAGAAAGCCGCCATTGACTGTTCAGCAGAATATGCTGGGAGGGGAGAGGGACAGAGTGGGCCCCCTCATGTCCTGTCCAACCATGGACGTCCTCTTCTTTGGACATTCAGAAAGTTACCAAGGAAGGGAAACCAAGGAAGCTCTGAAGAAACCAGCCCTGGGCTGGGGGCAGGAGAAGGGGTGAAGTTCAAATCACCAGAGCAATGGTGCAGCACAGAGCCACAGGCAGCCACCAACTGCAGTCTTAGTTAGTTATTGAGTGGTTTCTGAAAGTTATTATTTTTAATTATTTTGGACTTATTATCTGAACGCTTTCATCATAAAGCTTACCCAAGATTTCCTAGAATTAGCCAAAGTGGCAGCACCTCCTTCTTGCTGCTCCTCTCCCTCCTCCTCCTTCACCCTAGCAGACACCTGGGCGCCGGGGGTATAGCGATGAGCACCGTGGAAATTCGGCCCCCGTGCTCGCAGAGCTTCTGTTCTAATAAAAAGTGAAACAATAACTATAATTAGTATTATTACCTCGAGAAGCTATGAGCACTTTGCAGAAGGTAATAAGTCGAGATGGGTTGGACTGGGGGGCAGGCCACGTTAGCAGGGTGGCCATGATGGTCTGGCTGGGGAGGGGCTGTTAGACCCAACCTCTGAAAACCAAGGAAAGCTCAACTGTGGGAAAATCTGGAGGGAAGATCCAGAAATCATTGCAGGAGGAGTTCCCAGAGGGCGTGAAGACCACGGAGCCAGAACAGGCTGAGGAAAGGGGCATGCCAAGCTAGGCCTGCACAGCAATGCCCGGTTTCCCCTCCCCTCTGCCCCCCTCTCTTGACTCCCCCCTGTTCCCCAGGACCAGGCTCAGGGGGCTTTCTCTGAGACAGTGGCCTGCACGTGTGGCCATCTGGCCTGGCTCTCCCATCTCCCCTCGATCCACCTGCAGTTCCAAGATGGCTGCCTGCAGGAACCTGCTTTCTTTGGACATACACAGCAATAATAGCACCACCGGTCACGGGTTAAGGTGTCAGTAACTGACAGGAATTCATGAGTTGCCCCTGCCCCTGTCTCTCGCCCAGGGCCTGAATTCACAGACGCTAGGTGGTGTTGCCTGTGAGGGAGCAACATGTGTTCGATTTTCGGCACCTGGAGCTGCTCTGACCAAGTTCTCTTATATGTAATTGTTCTAATTATGGAGAAGACCTGAACGAGAGTGATGATTCCCTAGAAGAACCACTTAGAACGAGTGTTTAGAAGTTTGTGGCATCCGGGCGAAGTGAAGAGGAGGATCGTGTACCTGGGAATGTTCTGCTTTTTTGTGATAACGCATTACCAACCCACTCAGCATGTGTTTTCGAGAAACAGATGAGCAGGGGCTGAGTCAGTGAAACAGGCGGGAGAAGAGGAGTCTGGCAAAGCAAGGGCCGAGGCTAGGGAGGCAGAGGGCCTGCTTGGTTCCCTCCTAGGCTCCCAGGGCTGCTGTGTTCTGAGATCCCACAGAACCGGGGATGCTCCAGCAGAAAATCCAAGGGCTCAGCTTTCAGTGTGGTGCTCCTCTCAGGCACACACCCTCAGCAGCCTCCGGAGAGGCCAACAACTCCCTTGCTACCTACCTTTTGAGAAAAAAATCTGGCATTCTGGGTGGTTTTTGTTTTTTGTGTTTTTTTTTTTTTTTTCTGTGAAAACAGAACCCCAAGTGAATCATTACGGCCTGAAGATGATTTACCAGTCACTGTGTTCTGCCCGCCAGGGGGTGATTCCGACTTTCCGGGTAAAGTTCCTGCTGAGGCTGCTGCGGGGGAGGCTGGAGGTGGATCTGGACAAAGACAAGCTCCTGTTTAAGCACATGTGCTACGAAATGGAGAGGCTGCATAATGGTGGTGACGTCACTTTCCACGACGTCCTCAGGTACGAAGGGGTCTTCCCAACTGCGTGTCACAGAGCTGACCCGAGTCCAGGACCCCGAAGCCGGGGCCATTCAAGGCCTTGTGAAACACAACCAACAAGGAGGTTCATAAGCCAAGATGCCACACCCCCTGAGGTGATGAGGCGAGGCTGCGCTGCTCGGGTTCCGAGTGGCCTTGTCACTGTCCTGTAAGGACCGTGTCTGAATGAGGGCCTCACACAGGAGCGGGGGGAAGCAGTGGCCTGATATCCCCAGAACTGCCCCTTACTGACTGGGGAGCTCCTGACGGGGAGAGGTAGGGGGCCTCGGGGAGAGTGGCCGCCCCTCGTTTTGTGAGGAACGATCTGGTCCCGGAGAGTCGTGTGACTTGCTCAGTGACGTAGCCTCAGTGGTCAAGCCGGGGCTAATGGGCAGATCTTCTCCCTCGTGAGGCTGCTCTGTGATGGTTGCCCCCGCTTGGATGGCAAACCACATTTTCCATTCCGTGAGCACCCAAACAGGACAAAGGGAACAAAATACCATAAACTCAGTGGTTTAAACAAGTGTATTGTCCCATAGTCCTGGAGGCTAGAAGTCTGAATTCAGGGGCTCAGCAGGGCTGGTTCCTTCTGAGGCTGTGAGCGGGAATCTGTGCCAGCTTCTGGGGTTTTGCCCGTCATCTTTGTAGAAACACCACCCCGATCTCTGCCCCCATCTTCATGTGTGGTTCTCCCCATGTGCCTGCGTGTGCCTGCATGTATCCACGTCTTGCCTTTTATAAGGACACCATTCATATTAGATTAGGGAGCCATCCCGTTCTGATACGACCTCATCTTAACTAATCACCTCTGCAGTGACCTCTTTCCAAATAAGATCACATTTTGAGGTATTGGGGGTTATGACGCCAACATCTAATTTTTTAGGGGGAAAACAATTCAATCCATAACACCTTTTTAAACAGGAATCCATGCATAGAATCCTGAGGTCCATGGCCTTGAAAATAATCACATCTTTATTTTCATGAATCACTCCCTGAAAGGCAGCATTTTCCTCAGTGATGAATGCAGGCGACAAACCACAAGCATCCTAACAATACGTGCGTCTTTGTCACCAGCAGAAATCACAGGTATTTTCGGAGCACCTCACTGACACACCTGGTAGCTTAGATATCCTTTACACTCGCCGGCACTTGTAAGTTATCGTGGTCATTTGACCTCAGCTAGATGTTAGTAGTTAAAGCAATAATAAAGAAGCATTTATGTTACTGTGTCACCATCTTGTTAAAAATCTTCTAAAATTAATTTTATTTCTTTTTTTATCGACGTAGAGTCGACACAGTATTACACTGGTTTCAGGTGTACAACACGATGACTCAGCAACTCTGTATGTCATGCTATGCTCACCGCAAGAGTAGGCAACCCCAGTCACCAAACACCACCATCACAGCATCATTGGCTAGATTCCCTACGCTATACTTTTCATCCCGGTGACTGATGCATTCCAACACCGGAAACCTGTGCCTCCCACTCCCCTTCATCTGCTTCGTCCATCCCCCGAGCCCCCTCCCTGCTGGCAACCACCAGTTTGCTCTCTGTATTTATGGGTCTGCCCCTGCTTTGTTTATTTTTTAGATTCCACATGTAAGTGAAATCACATGGTATCTGTCTTTCTCTGTCTGGTGTATTTCACTCAGCGTAATACCCTCTAGGTCCATTCATGTTGTGGCAAATAGTCAGATCTCACTCTTTTTTTTACGGCTGAGTAATAGTCCATTGTATGTCTATACCACATCTTCTTTATCCATTTTGTCATCACCTTTTTTAAGAAGATATGAGAACTGTATTTCAATAGAGTTGGTTTCCTTTGTAATCGTATGTATTTTATTTTATGCATTTAAAAGTTCTTCTAGGAAAAGTCCCCTAGGCTCCACTCTCGAAGAGGCCCACCCACGGGAAAAGTCCAGGCCCTCCTCTAGCAGTACCTGTTTTCATCATGCTGCGTGTATCTGACAGGTTAAGTGGTGGGTGTGGTGGCTCGCATTCAGCAGCACTCAGGTACACAGAAATACGCTCGTGACTGAAACTTGAAAAAAAGGTCAGAACAGGAAGGACCTGGGAGAAGTTCTTGCAAGTTCATTGTTTTACTTCCCACTATTCACTTCTCCCAGGAGCACGCTAAAGGGCAGAAAAAGAGGCACAAAATACGTGTGATTAGCCAAGGATGCCGTCTCTCTCAGAATGTCACCAAGTTGTTCCTCCTGGTGACAAACGTGTCTAGGCTCAAAGGGAAGCACGGAGACAGACCGCTGTCATGAGCGCTTTATCGTTCAGCCTCTCTGGAAGCCGGTGAGGCATCTGATGGAGTGGACCCAGGCGAAGCTGACGGGGGCGCCCCTTGCCCCTCCCTGCCCCTATAGCTCAGGAAATGATGAAAACAGTTTGGCAGTGACGAGATTCTGGATGAGGCAGGGATGAGAGGAAGAGCAAACACGTTTCCTTCTTCCACGGTGGGAAGAGCCTTAGCAAGGAGAAGGTCCCAGGGCTGCCTGGGGAGGCCCCCTGAGCACCTCCATGCTGTGACGTGGGCCGCGGAGGTGGCACTGAGCTCACAGACAGGCAGGCAGGGGCTGAGTGCTAACCTGGGGTGCGGTGGGGGCACCGGGGAGCGCCGAGCTGCAGAAAGGGCCGCATTCTCCTTTGGCTGTGGACCTCTCAGCCTGGGTACAGTATGAGTGTCTGACTGCCCTGGGGCCCTGAGGAGGCTACCTGTCGGCTGTGTTGGCTTCATCTGCCACTGCCTGGAGCTGTTGTGCCAAGGTCAGAATGGGAGCGACTTGGCACCCACCAAAATAAATGAGGAGGATCCAGGGGCACAAAAGAGATCAATAGAGAGGGACCTGGGGGGAGGGGAGGGAGCAGGAAGCCTGACCTTTGGCCAAGCCTGTTACCCATCCCCAACTGTACCTGAATGTGACCAAATGTGACCAACGTATAGAGAGAGCACTCTTCCTTCTACAGGGAATGGTCCAGAGCCTTAAGCAGCTGATAATGTAGATGAGGGCCCAGCCTGGATCTTTTGTTTTACAAGCACTTACAGGGCACTGACTCCTGTAAACACCTCACAAGTATTAACTCAGTCCTTTAATAAGGTGGGTATCATGAGTGTCCCCGTCTTACAGAGGAGGTGACATAACTAGCCCATGTCCCCCAGCAAGTCCGGTGGCACAGGGACGCTACCGTGGTTGGACTGAGTGATGTGCTCCCTGGAGTTTGAGGTATCCACCGGTCGGAGTCCCGGGGGAGTCAGACCTGGACTGCTGTCGTGTCCCCCCACCAGCATGCTGTCCTACCGGTCGGTCGACATCCGGAAGAGTCTGCAGCTGGAAGAGCTGCTGGCGAGGGAGCAGCTGGAGTACACTATCGAGGAGGAGGTGGCCAAGCAGACCATCCGCATGTGGCTGAAAAAGTGCTTAAAGCGCATCCGAGCTGTGAGTGAACTGGACGTGTCTGGGGTTTTGTTTCCTCCTCTCAAAGGAGGAAGAAGAGGGAGAAAAGAAAAGAGCTTTGGGGGCGGGGTGGGGCGCCTGGGTGGCTCAGTGGGCTAAGCGTCTGCCTTCGGCTCAGGTCGTGATCTCAGGGTCCTGGGATCGAGCACCGCGTCGAGCTCCCTGCTTGCAGGAAGTCTGCTTGAGACTCTCTCTCCCTCTGCCCCTCCCCCCATGCTCTCTTTCTCTCTCTCAAATAAATAAATAAAATCTTTAAAAAAGAAGAGAAAACAGTTTCGTGAGCAACAGGATGAGATCCTCCTGTGATTAGCCTTGTGGCCCTTCAACTATGTCAGCTTCATCCCCTTGTGATGGCCACGTGCTGATTTGCACCTTAGCTCCAGTCCAGACCCAGCTGTGCCCTCTCTAGCAGAGTCCATAAGACGTTCCCATTGAATCACATTTTTATAATAGAACATGAATGTTTAAAAAGCAGTTTACTGAGGAGCATCTGGGTGGCTCAGTCGGTTAAGGGTCTGGCTCTTGATTTTGGCTCAGGTCATGATCTCAGGGTCATGAGATCGAGCCACACATCGGGCTCCATGCTGGCCATGGGGCCTGCTTCAGAGTCTCTCTCTCTCTCTCTCTCTCTCTCTCCCTCTTCCCCCGCCCCCCCCCCCCCCCACCCCCCCACCCCCCGCTCGGTGCTCTCTCTCCTTGGGGAAAAAAAGGCAGTTTATTGATACTAATGTATTTGTGATCTCCATTTATCAAACTCAACTCTTCAAAATGCCCAAGATCTCTACATGTTGTGTGGCAACTGAATTTACAAAACTACTTTTAAATTGTTTCTAACAATTCCACCATACCATTGATAATATTGTTTGGTCTTTAACAAAGGCCACCTCTCCTGGGAGTTTAATGATCTGTCTGCTGCCTTCAGAACTACAAGCTTATAAGATTCTCTGACTCATAAATCAATGAACACATACTATGTTGACATACATCGTGTTTACAATAGGCATTTCTAGTAGATAATTACTTTTATGAATGTTTTTGACTTACCCTTCACAGAGGAAAAAAATCAAATTAATCACTAAATATATATATTTAACAGACTCTTTAAATCCTGTTTCTCAGAACAACACCCGCTGCAGGAAATACGTCTTTCTATTGGAGGAGAAAAGGTCCCCAGAGAAACGAAACAGCCCAAGCCCCTACCGCAAAGCCACAGTCACAGCTGACCCTAGCCCTGCTCACTCTAGCGATCCAGCCTTCCCCCCAGGGGCCCCAGGAGGGCACGGGGAGCTGGACCAGCACCAGACTGGGCTCCCGAGTGTGTGCCAAAACAGACTGGCCTGCTCCTCTCCAAGAACCGAGGCAAGAGCAAGGGTTTCACCCATCCACCCGAGGCTCTCTGCTTCTAACAACCCGGAGGAAAAGGGTGTTCACTACTGGTTTAATGAGCACAGAGCAAAATAAGAAGGGAAAAAAGAGAACGCCTCCATTAGCGATTCAAAAATTCTATTTTAAGTACAACAGAGCTGTATCAATGGACATACTTATTCCCATTGTTATGCAAATGAGCATGGGTTGGGGAGTCTCTAAGCCCTCCTTCACAGCAGTGTGATAGGGAAATTAGTTAAGCATCCTTACTTGGAAGTTCCAAAGAGGTCACCAAGCATACAGGTTCTTTGGGGAGGAGAGAAGAAAATATGATTTGAATGGTGGGGGGCCGGGGGGACGTTGGGCTGATTTTTCTGTTACCGAGAGAATAATCATATTTCCATAGAAACAACAGCAGTCCTGCAGCATCATCCACAGCCTGAGAGAGAGCCAACAGCAGGAGCTGAGCCGGTTCCTGAATCCCCCCAGTATCGAGACCACCCAGCCCAGTGAGGACATGAACGCTAACAGTCAGGATAATAATATGCAACCTGAGGTACGGTATGAGGCGTCCTTCCTCCAAGGGTATTAGGTGCATTTTTAAAAATAAAAAATAAATTGGTGCTGTTCACATAGCCATTTCAAACAAGGTGACAGTATTTCTAATTGGAAGTTTGTTAAGTTAAAAACAACTGGAACATGTTGATCCAGATTGTGTCTGGATCTTTGCAACTTGGAATCGTTTGGGGTTGTTTCAAAAGATTCTGATTCTGAGTTGTATGAATACAAAAAAAAAAAAAAAGGGTGAATGCCCTGAACTCACTAGTTCTGTCGATTTTTGTCTAAAGAGTTAACACCGCATCTCTATGGTCTTAAGTGGAGTCCAGCGATATTACATGAAGAACGTGGTTTGCCGGAAACTCTGCCCTAAATACGTTCTTCTACCAAGTCAGAGGAACTTGTAGTAGAATCAGTGGAAATGTTTGTAATTGGCCACCAACTTCCTTAAATAGTCAGACTCATTAAGGATTTGTCCTTCCTTAGTTGGGCATCGGAAGAGCATATGGAATTCAGGAGGATTAGCCCGAGGACATTTTTACTAGGGTGCAGCTTATTTCCATTTCCAGACGCAATGTCCATGTCCATACAAATGCGCAGAGAGGCGCGGGCACCCTGGAGAGCCTTGCGCGGTGACCAGCAGCAGGCAGGAAGTCCTGCCCTTCATGAGGGCGCATTCGTGGCCCGGCTGGAGTTGATCCAGCTTCCCGAGATGAGCGCCCTGGCAGGGTCGGGCTTCGTGGTGTGCAGAGACACAGCCCATACAGCTCCGCGGTAAATACTGAAGCCTGAGGCTCGGCGGCCCGGCGGGATGCTCCAAGGGGACCTCTTGTTCCATAGCCCAGTTTGGAGTGGATTTCATGTTGTTGGATCCCAACACGTAGGCATCATCTGCCACCGACCCCAGGGACTCGTGCAGGGACAGTCAGCAAAGGCGGAGGGGCAGAAGGATGGGGGGAGGGGTGAACATAGAGGCTTCGACAGTGGCCCTGCCACCTGTCCGCAGTGAGGATGCGCGGAGCAGGGGTAGACGGGGCCAGCCAGCCAGGCAGGGCTGATGAGGCTGGCAAAGCGATGATTGCAGAGCTCTAAAATAAAGGAAAGAAAAGAAAAAAAGCCCATGAGGTAACAAAAAAAACAAGAGGAGATACCGAAGAGATGTGAAGACCAAGACACTGATAGGAGAGAGGAAGGTGACGGTGCACCACAGAGTGTAAAAGGTGTGGAGAGTCTCAGCCATTCTCTCTGAATTAGTCTTAACTGGTATAAGCTTCCTTGGGCTCCGCGCTGCCGTAGAGTTTTATCTGCAGAGAGGCTAGGGCTGATCTCCAGGTTGGGAAGAATATACTTCCGCCAAACCGGACAGTTCCTGCTGCCCCCCTTCCTTCCTGGTCTGTGGCGACCCCCCTCCCCCGCCAGGTGCTGGCGAGGGGTGGGGCGGAGCTGTGGGAGTGGGGGAACCCTGGAGGGCTGCCCGGAGAAGGCGCTACCTGGAGAATTGTGCGTCTCTTCACGTGCAGCGGTGACTCTGACTTTTCTGGACTCTCTGAACCCATTTTCTCTTCACCCTTCCCCATTGTGCACTCTGCGGCTGCGGTACTGTTTTCCTATGGCACTTTCTTCCTTTCTTACCATAAAATGAGAGTCCAGACCAGTGCAGAGGCCAGAAGGGGAGCAGAGCGGTCAGAAAGAGCCCTGACTGCCTCACTCTCGCCCCGTGCAGACCAGCAGCCAGCAGCAGCTCCTGAGCCCTACGCTGTCGGACAGAGGGGGAAGCCGGCAGGACGCCACAGACCCCGGGAAACCCCAAAGGAAGTTCGGGCAGTGGCGGCTGCCCTCAGGTGTGTGCCCTGGGTCCCTTCTCCACTGACTCAGTGTCTACACTCGGTGGGCTTTGGGTCTCGGATTTCAAGTTCAGGTCTGCCTCTCCAGTTCCTTAGGCTCCTCTCACTACTGCTTACACTATCTGTCCTTTTCCTTTGTGTTTATATTCTGTCTTTGTATATACTAAAGAAACACCTACTCACCCATATTTCTATGACACTTATATTTGCCCAGATTGGAACATTTAGTGATTTTTTGGTTAAGTTTTTTTGTGATTATCTCAAAGCGCGGTGGTGGGCGGGTAGCGTGTTTTCGAATGGTATTACTAGTTGCCCACGAACAGAATTTTCGAGTCCATGCATATAAAGTTTATGAATATAAAGAACCGAGAGCTGGGAGGGGGTCATACTTACCACCTGGGGGGGGGCGTGGTTAGCAGGACTGGTTTAGTTGTTACTGCTGGGGGGATCACCGCTTTTTGGGAATGGCTTGAACAGGGGTGAACAGCTCCGAGTTGCTCATAGGACTCTTGTCAATTCCACAGCACCCAAACCAATAAGCCACTCAGTGTCTTCGGTCAACTTACGATTTGCAGGGCGCACAACAATGAAGTCTGTTGTGTGCAAAATGAACCCCATGACCGACACGGCGTCGTGCGGTTCCGAGGTTAAGAAATGGTGGACCCGGCAGCTGACGGTGGAGAGTGACGAAAGTGGCGATGACCTTCTGGATATTTAGGTGGACGCAGCGCCGAGCAGGGTCTCATGGGGAACACTGTTTTCTGACACTGTCCTCCTACGGTCTAACATCTGCTGGTGAGCAGTCCGGACTGGAGACGTCATTTAATTCCACCTTGTCACGAGATTTTTTTTTTTTTTAAGTGGATTTTTGTCCTGCCGTAGGAGGGCGTAAACACTTGGTCTGTGGTAGCTGTGCGCACGAGGGCTTGTTACCGGGTGTTCAAGAAAATTCGCCTGGTGGTAGTATCTGTAATATTGCCCAACACTAGATGTAGACCGTTCAAACACATCATATACCCTGTCTACGTGAACGAAGGTGTATCTTCAGATGCTGTAGACCGTTCAAACACATCATACACC